CTGTATAGTAATGTTGCTATGGCAGTTAATATTGATGGCAAAATTCCCACCAGTGGTAAGTTTTATGCAACAGGTGCCTGGACATTGTTTCACAAAACAGTCATAAGTACAAGTTCACAGACATCACATTAAACCGTGTCTTAACTTCAAAACACGTGTCTCCATAGCATGTCGGTGAACTTGTACTTATGACGGTTTCGTGAAAGGCTGCCTTGATATTAACAGTTGTCATATTTTCTCTCCTAGACATGTAGTCAAAAGCTTTCTAAATCTCGCATGATAACACCGGATAACTACTCAGTAGATACCGAAGGAGATATGCAGGTAATGATATACCTTTATGATTTTTATCGAAGTCTTTATTCTTGAACGCTGATATATATGTGACCGAACAGGTTGGCTTTCCGGACAGTTGAATTCAAACAATAATTCAAAGAAGTTTAATTGTAATATTTTATGAACATTTTAAGATACATCTTAGACACTAATCATAAATGACATAACAAAATATCTAAATGGTCAGTGCGTTTCTTTAATTTGGCAGATGATAGAGGATTGGTAATACTACAAGATTATTATCTTGATCATGCCATACTCATTAAGACTATCACGTTTGCCCAATAATATAACACAGAAAAGGCTCCTTCTATCATCAGTTCCAAATTCTCTCTATCTCTAAATCCCTCAATCTCTTTCACTTTGTTATTCCCTGCAACTTCCTCGTTCTCCTTCCTATTCTATCTGTCTTTTTTTCTTTCTCTCTCTCTCTCTCTATCTCTCACCCTCCTTTTCTCTCCGTTTTCATTTTCTATATTTTTCTTCACTTTCTCGCGTTTACCCTTCTCCCATCATCTCTCTCCCTTTCTCTCTCTTTCTCCAACACTCTCTCTCCTCTCTCTCTTCCTACATACACCTCTCTTTCTGTCACACACTCGCTCTCCTTCTCTCTCTCTCTCCTTCTCTCTCTCTCTCTCTCTCTCTCTCTCTCTCTTTCCCTCTTTTTGTCCTACATGTCTCATCACATAATCATTACCATAATGATTCAAATCATTTCCCTACAGTTCACAAAGTGTCACGGACGGAAAACTTTCACCGACGAGTCTTTCATTTACATCACTGACTGTCGGTCTGGTTCTGGTGGGTTTCATGAAGTTACGTATAACATCACGCTGAGGAATCAAGGAAAATCGCTACGAAGGGAGTTTTCGGCTGACGAAATGTGTATGTTTGCTCCATACTAACCATTCGGAGATAAAGAACTTAATAGCTTAGGCCTAAACCACAGTCACACATATGAGACGGACACCAGACGGAACAAATCATTACATTATCCTCATACCTCAGTAAACCGCCTCAGTCACACCGCCAAACCGACCGACTCTGGCACCATTCGGAATAATGTAATGTTAGGTTTGGTCTATTGTCGGTCTGGTGTCGGTCTAATCTGTATAACTGAGGTGTTAACGATTAAAAAATCAACAACACTTTGAACCCAAATTTAATCAATGAAATTTTTTGACGATTTGTTCTTCTTTCCATCTCCGGAATATTTCTGTTAAGATTTTTGCTAGTATAATAGCATAAAAGGATTTAAGCACCGTCCTCATTTTTAGCTTTAATCATATATCGCGAATTGTGAATTCGTGTTATAATGTAATCAGGGTGCGAAGAGATTAAAGCCCAATTAGTATTCATTGGTATGATACAAGAGCACTTATGTATTTATTTATTTTTGTTTAATTTTCAGATTTGTTAGAGACGAATATCATTGTCCTTTTCCTGTATATCCTGATGTTTATCATGGGAACATGGCTGTTGGGTAATTATGTTTTTCGAGCATAAACAAACAAAACCATCATAAAAGGAGGGTTAATATGTTAGTAATGTAAATAAAACTTGTGATGAGTAGATATGATGTCAAGACAGAGGCGGCCCTCCCAGGGGGGGGAGGCACTCGAAAAGTGGCCCTTTTTACATAGGAAAAATGCCCCTTTAACTTTGTAATAAGTGCCCCTTTTTACATAGGAAAAATGCCCCTTTTACTTTGTCAAGTGCCCCTATTAATTTGTAAAAGTGCCCCTTCCCCTGTTCGACTCTGATAAGTGCCCCTTTTATTTGGACACGGCCCTCTTTTACTTCGACAAGATCCCATTTTCATTTGCAATAAGTATCACTTTTCCATTCTCATTAGTGCCCTTTTTAATCTCTAGTTAGTGCCCCTTTGCAGGTACGTGAAGTGCCTCTTTTTACTTTTGATAAGTGCCCCCTTCACCTCTGATAATTGCCCTATTCAAATCTGAGAAGTGCCCCTTTCCCTTTTAATAACTTCCCCAATTTTAACTCGGATAAGCGCACCTTATATTTTCACATGTGCCCCTTGTCCTAATGATAAGTGCCCAATCAAAAAAGAGTCCCTTCCCCTTCACATAAGTGCCCCTTCTCTGGGAAATGACCCTTTTCAGGTACGAGAAGTTACTCCTTTTTACTTCAGATAAGTGCCCCCTTCACCTCCGATAAATGACCCTTAAAACTCTGATGAGTGCCCATTTTCTTTCAACTAATGCACATTTTCTTTCAACTCATGCACATTTTCCTTTATTATAAGTGCCCCTTTTTCATTTTCGTAAGTGCCCCTTTTCATATCTGGTCATTGCTCCTTTTCAGGTGCGATGAGTGCCTCTTTTCACCTCTGATAATTTCCCTTTTAACAATGATACGTGCAACTTTTCCTTTCATAAATGCCCCTTTTCACCTCTTATAATCTGATGGGGGCCCCTTTTCGGTTGACAAATGCCCATTTCCTATTCTCATGACTGACTTTTTCCATTTCTTTGTGCCCCCCCCCCCCCCCCCCACTTTGGAAGTCGCTCGGCCGTCCAGATTAAACAGGCTTACTTGAGTTTGTCAAGAACCGTACAAATATTTACTAAAAGATTAAGAAATCAATGAAATATTATGACAATTTTTTTTTCTTCAGAAAGTTCATTTTCTACACAGACGACAAAAAATGTTTTCAAAAATACCTAAATGGCATTGAGTTTTGACAACTATTCCAGTCTGGATGACACTACAAAACGCAGTATGCTTTTTACTCTTTCGGTTTGTGTCGGTCTTATCGATTAAAACTCAATTTTGGAAATGACCGTTTGTAAATCGAAAAGAATGGAAACTTGAAAAGAATCTGAACTTCAGACTCATAAACACCACTAACAGAATTTTCTCATGTACTTTTTTTTACATGCAGTGAATGTATTTAGGACAAAACTGAAAGTCATCTTTCGATGGTTTTACCTGTCTCTCTGCTCACAAACGTGCGCCCTTATCATCTCGACGATAACTCTCGCATGCTTCTCTCAGACCGGTAGAGGGCTCACTCATATGCAGCGAATAGGTAAGTGATACTCTATTTTGAAGACAGCTATAACCCCCCCCCCCCCCCCCCTCCTTTTGTGCAGTCTAAATGATGCAGACTGCTCCTCTAAGGCCGGTAGAGGGCTCACTCATAGGTAGCAATTAGGTAGGTGTTGCAGTCGGTCCTCTCAAATGAAGAAAGCTAAGATTACTTCAATCTCCCCCCCCCCCCCCAAAAAAAAGTTCTTTAGTCAAAAAGCTTTAGCCAGGGGCGGATCTAGGGGGTTCGGCGGTTTAACCCCCCCCCCCCCCTCGGGCGACCAAGTGAAAAAAAAGAAGAAGAAAAAGGGGGAGGAAGAGAAAACAATAAAACGGTGCGATTTTTGGAAAATCTTGGATCCGCCACTGGGTCACCCCCCCCCCCCCCCTTGGCAAAAAGCTAGATCCGCCCCTGCTCACTCTACTGTGTATGATCGAATCTCTTTGGTAGCAATTAGGCAAGTATTGCAGGCGATCCTCTCGAATGATAATTATAGGACTACTCAAATCCATCCCTTCCCTCCCCCCCCCCCCCCCCCCAGGCAATGTTCTTTAGTCTTTAAAAAAGGAATGTTAATTTACTGACGCAATACTTGTAACAGTAATATTACGCTGTATATCAATGTAATGTTTTGATAAGGGTAATCAATATATCTACTTATATCCACATAATATTCGTGATGGACTAGAACCTGTGATTATTTTCGAGTAGGTCTATCTTAATTTATGTTGACTTATTTCTTCTTCCATTTGTTCATGCCTTCGGTGTTTTGGTGTTGGATCAAAGACTTTCGTCTAATATTCTTACCTTCTTCTATAACGTCCATGTTTTAAATATTAACCGTATATGTACAAGGCAGCTAGCGACTAACCGGATGCAGCTAGTTCCCTTGATATATTTTGGCTACGAAAGGGGAAAACCTAGCGACTAACCGGATGCGGCCAGTTCCCTTGATATGTGGCTAGGACAGCGGAAAACCTTTTAGACTGGACCCAAATGGTTTATATGTACATTCCTTGTAAAATAAGATATATGTTTCAATTTATTTCACAATTCCCCACATTTTTTTGTTGTTGACAGGTCAAACCTTCAATTGTTTGAGCACCCCGGTCTTTTCAGCTCTTCTGATAGTTATAGGGAAAGGGCATTCCGTCACACGGTGAGTTTTTCATAAAATATGACAAGGAATAAATGCATTCGATACATCATCAACAACAACAACAACAACAACAACAATGATTACTACGGTTCGTTATCCCAACAGTGAATTTTGAGGATCGTAATTCAGATAATTGAGTAAATAACGGGTGTAGCCAGTCCAACGACTGAGGGGGCACTGGTCGACTGCCGGGGATGAAATTTCGCTAGATACTACTTACATGATAACGATCCTTTGTTCAATTCCGTTGCATGGTGATAGTCGTTCCCTATCTGCGGCAGACAATTCGAGAGTTGGTGCCTACGCAATCACCTCATCAGTAGCGAGTCTGATATCCCAGCTCTCAGCATATTCATCTGATGATATCTATGACTTTCCTGATCAGTACAAAGTCATCTTGGTTATTAACGGAATAGGCAAGTTAAAATCATTCGGATTCAATTGTTTATTATGTTCAGTTTGTATAGTTTGTGCTTATTTCAGATGTCCGAATATATCTTGGCCTCGTCGTATAATGAATTGATATCAATCGCAACTATGTAAATAAGAGATAGGAGACTGCAAACTTGAGGAGGACTTGCGATTGATTAGCATCAATCGTAACTCTTTATAAGACGGAACCTTGTGGTACTATTATTCTGCGGTGTAGTTGCGTACATGATAGCTATTAAATTTTACATCTGTCTTTCATTTCTGCCTACCCTTTTCTCCTTCTCTTGCCTCCTCCTCCTCGTCGTCGTCCTTCATCTTCTCACTTAGTATTCATCCGATGTCTGTCTCTCTTTCCACCTCTTTCCTTCTAGTTTTTCTTTCTTTCTTTCTCTCCTCCCCTCCATCCTTCTCACTCTATCTGTCTCTCCACATCTGTCTATCTCTCTCTCTCTCTCTCTCTCTCTCTCTCTCTCTCTCTCTCTCTCTCCCTCTCTCTCTCTCTCTCTCTCTCTCTCCCTCTCTCTCTCTCTCTCTCTCTCTCTCTCTCTCTCTCTCTCCTCTCTCTCTCTCTCTCTATTTTTACCTGTCTATTATTGTAACCATATCTATCAATACAATTAACTATCACCCTCACTGAATGCGAAAATTATTGTCTTAGTTTTTATTTCAAACTCCTTTCAATAATTTCCCTTTCCTTGACTTCCATTCTTCTTTATCTGCTAGGTGCTATTTGGCTCCTTACCAGTGTCTACTCCACCCTTCGACCACGCCCAAAGCTCGCCTCCTTATACGTGCCCTTCCTCATCTTCTACTGTCTTTGGTTCCTAGCAGAACCCATCTTTCTACTCGTTGTTTTCTATGCCTTACCTCAACTAGAAACGTAAGCTGTTACATTCTCATTTCAATCCATTTTGTTTCGTTTTCTATCCCAACCGCTTGGGTATTTCGATGAGGGGGGGGGGTACTGCATGGGGGCTCAGTCGCACATGCGACCTCACAAAACGGTGACGTGAAGTATAGCCAAACTTCTATAACATGTTTGAGGAGGGGACGGAGTTTGCGTATTTCCTAAAAGGTAAATCACAATAGAAGAAATTTAACGCACTATCTTTATGTTATGAATCGAAGTCAATCTGAATATCATCAAACAAACAAACCGCTGACAAAACATTAGATTGGCTCGGATATTTTGCACCCACCCCATCCGACACCAAAGTCTAGATTCGCCACAAGTTTCATTCTTTTGAAATAGTATTTAAGATACGGTAGGCATAATACTGACTATCTTTCTGAGGATTTCCCCCTCTTTTACACACCTCTTTAACTTCTAATTTTGTTTTGTTTCGTTTTCTTGTGAGGATTTTTTACGTTCCTTCTTCTCCCAATGTTTTGCTCCGTTTCTGTTAGACCCAACATCAAGAACGGTGTTTACTTGACACTCAGCGTCCTGGGTCATGCTGTCTTCTTCATTGTGATCAGACCAAGAGGCCTGGAAGAACGGTTTCCCTACTGCATGCCTGCCAATAAGGTATGTCAGGGGACAACGTTACGGGGGTGGGTGCAGGAGGGGCGTTTACTCCCTTACATAATCATGCAATTAATTTACACCAAATATGGTAGAGATTGAGACATATTTAACACTTTATATGTAGAATATAGGACAACTTCTTCCCCCTTTTATTTGTTGCTAGTCAGCACTTTTTGAAACTGCGCCCCTATATTAGTGAGGGGGTAGTGAGCACATCAAAAAAAAATTCAATTTGCACCCCCCCCCCCCCCTTGAGCGCCAGGGGGGGGGCCCAACCCCCAAAAAAGGTCAAAATCACGTGATTTTACATGATTTTTTTCTCAAGGGGGGGGCCGGGCCCCCCGGCCCCCCCCCCCCCCTGGATCCGCCAGTGGCCCCAGAAGCTCAGGGGTTTTAGGCATTTTATAACGGTCAGACAAGCATGCAGGGGCCCGCCTTAGGGCCCCTGGTGGGATCGAGGGGGTGGAGCCCCCGGAAGCTAAGGGGTTTTTAAGGCATTTAATCACGGTCAGATGAGAGGAGGGGGGGAGAGGAACAATTTTGTTGTCGTTGCTTTCTTTAGGACAAAATGAAGTCTTTCCCCTTTTTTTTCCTTCTTTTTTTTCGCAGGGGGGGGGGGACGGGCGCCCCGGGATCTGCCACTGTGTTTATGAATGGTTGAGACTCTTGTAAATTTGTGATAATCATGCATCATAAAAAATTCACATCATCATCTTCATCATCATCGTCGTCGTCATCTTCGTCAACATCATCATCTATGTTCGCTCACCTATGTACAAATAATGTACAAAGGATAAAAAAAACAGTATTATTTACACTATAAAGGGGTACATAATTATGCTTAATGACTGTGATTGGAATTACTTGCTTACATTTTATCTATTTACCGGTATTAATTCATTATCGTTGTTTTCCCCTTTATAATTTTCATTGAATTCTACAGGATGCTGGCACTCGGTGAAATCATGCTTCCTGTAGAAAAGATGATCAACTGATCAAAAGTGGTGATATCCGGCTGATTGTGCCAGTGTTGATTGATTTTCCAGTTTTATATATCGTTTATAGACTATTAGATATTTTGTTTGTTTTAATATTGGAAATATTGATTGATAGCTCAACACCAATGCCACAAAGAATTGTATCGCTACTGAGATGAACAGGGCTAAATAAGAGATGATTATGATTTATACACGTACTTGTGATTATTATAAGACGATTCAAGATTTGATGTTTTAAACAAACAAATTACAGATTTGATGATTAATTATGAAAAGAATGTGTCGTTTTAGGTTAATCCACATCATCGCTTAAATTTCATTCTAATATCTCTAATATTTCATGTATGTTGAAATAATTATATTGTTGCATTGTGTATGTTACGACAATCCATGTAATTGTGATTATGGTGAACCGTTGACAGCACAAACAAGTATTAATTACAATGAAACTTCGAGTACCCTGAATATCCGTCATATTAAAATGAACGCGATATTGGATGAGAGCATATTGTGATAGTCATTTCCATATAATGTCTCTGATGGCTTGCGTATTTTAATAATTAAAATATAAGTGTTGATTTGTGTTTTACGGCAATATGTTATATGTCAATACGTTTGTACCTATAGGCTGATATCTTTTAGATATTGAATAATTGTGAAATGATATGGTAGCATTACATTATTTTAAGGAAGTAGGCGAGCATGAAATGACTGTACAAACAAATACCATTATCATGAAAATTCAAGTACACCATTCGTCATATTAATGGATAAGAACCCATTGTTGTAGTCTATAGATTTATTATGAAAACATGTTTCCTCATCAGAATACGTCTGAAGGTGATTGATTTCATTATTAATTGCAATAACTGGTAATTACCGTTGTGAATTGCCAATTTGTATTGTTATAACGGACTTGTTTTTTTGTCATGAAACATTTCTCTTGTTCTTACTACCTGCTTCCACTGTACCATTAATGTAATGCAAATCTTTACTATTAAATTCAACATAATAATACAATTATTAGTGTTTAATATTATCGTTTTTAATACATGAAGTCAAATTCTTCCTCTTAGTTTTACTTTATGTAAATGTACAATTTATAGCCTTATTTCATGTGTTCTTGTATTTTACTGTAAATATGACAATATCATGGTCTCTGGACGTTTACCATGGTCTGTTCTTTAAACAACCTAACCAAAATTGACTTGAATTGAATTGAATATTAAAATTACATAGAGAGGAGATGCGATGTCGAATGTAGAAGGTCGTAAAACAAAAACAAAAAGAGAACAATGGTGTAAAATAATAATTTGAGACGAAAAGAGAGACGAAATGAAGATGATCGGAAAATTATGGTGGTGGAGATGAAGGTGAAGCAATCGAGGTAAAGGTGGAGGAATAAGAGCCAGAGGTTAATGAAGGAGTGAAAGAAGAATATGGAGAAGAAGAAGGAGAAGAAGAAGAAGAAGAAGAAGAAGAAGGAACCCCTATCCAAAACAGCATTGTTGTATACTAACAGCACTGAGTAGGGCCATCCCTCCGTCTTCCTTTTATAAGTGTGTCTTTATGATTGTAAATGTTTATGTATTAATGTTTTTTTTAATTGATGGAAAATAAATGCAATACATACAATACAATACAATACAATACAAAGAAGATATGAAGATGAAAAGGGGGTAGAAGGGGTAAAGGGAGGGGAAGAAAGAGAGAGAGAGGGAGACATTGTCGATTACCTTTTATAACTAATTTAAAGGGAAACATAATATCGATTTTTGAACCCCTCTAAATTATTAAATAAAACATCAACCTAAAACATATCATTCAACAAACAATGATAGGACTTACTGGACTGAATAAACAAAACATATTCAGTGAAGAACCCACTTTTCTTTCTTTACATCTCCGGTAGGCTATATATACTTTATCAACAATTAACAATATATGAAGAGATCTCATCTTTGTACTTTAAGAAGTGCGTTAATACGAGGGGTAGACACAGTACTAGCTTTCATAATTTACATACGATGTTATCAAATACCAAACAAACACTATGGCTGATGTACAAATATCTCATAATATGGTGGTTGTTGTGGAGGGCTCGCTTTATCGAATCGAATTGAAAGAGACCTTTGGACTGTATCCCTCTGTACCCAGATTACATTTTTAAAAGGTACTCCCCGTTTTTCATACTGCAGTCATGCAGTCAGTGACGCTTCTTTCTTCTCATTACGGCTGAATGCTCGATTATAGCATGCGCTGATCACAACGGTTGTGTTTTCTGCATGAAAAACGTGCACGCAAACAACTTGTAGCGACAATACAGTAGGCTCCATAGCGAAAAGCGTCTGCCATTATTAGCATTGCGCGACGGTTTTTGAATGACTTACAATCATACATTGAACCTCATCAATGCCAGCTTTGTGACGTTCTGAGCACCTAGTCCTTTTCTTGGAGGAGCGTTCGCTTTCTATTTTTACTGATGCGGAAGTATAATCAACAAGAGTGACGTTTTAGAGCAGACTTTTCTGTACTTGAGATACACTCCTGTAGTAGTCTGCTGGGAGTCGAAGAGAGAAGTTAGACAGAACCAGAGGATATATGGACATGGTATGGGATATTATACAATCAGTTCATCTATTGTGTTGGTGACTAAAGTAAGTCTCCTTTTGTCATCATTTTTGACATTCTAACCACTTTTTGTTTCATTTTGAACTTAACTATTTGAGATAGGCTTGAAAATAAGATGCACATTCAACTAACATGTCTCGTCAGTGTATGACTGAAAGGTGCCATATGTTTAGTAGATTTTACCATTTATAAAAACAATTAATGAAATTGTGCTTAAATTTGTGAAAGAAGAATTAGGCATTGACATGATATATCCGGTAATCAGCCTATAGGTATGACTATGTCCAAAGGAAGAGATTATAAAACATTGGTTTATTAAACATGATTATAAGAATTTTATCAACAATAATTATGTAAAACCTTTTAACCCAAATGGATAATACTTCAGCTAAAACAAAAGGCATCTTTACCCGATACAAATACATATTGGATATGGTAACACGATTCAGTAGTACTATTGGATTTGCATACCAGTGTAAACATATATCTCTTCTCGCATTGTTTGATTGCACACGGCATTAGCCATGCTGTCCAATATTTTAACTACAACAAATATGCATATTATTATTACCGCCCGTCATGGTTTGCGTTTCAATAAATAATAAAACCATCCGGGTATGAGGGTCTCCTGTTTATATTTGCTCTTATTTTAAAATGGCTTCCAAGTCTTGTCCCAGGTCTCATTTTTATACCAATAGATATGCGAGTTTCTATGCCAATGTTTTGTATTTCTGTTACCTTCCACAATCATGCTCAGTTCATTTTTTGTAATTACTTACGACAGGGTAACAGTTTGGGAAACAATAATTCATGATAAACTTGAAACTCTGAGAACCTGGGCCACAATTTGTATTTAGCTTCTCGTCAAAATGTATCTTCCATTTATATTTAGGTGTATGCTGATGATAGTAGCAATAATTTACATCATTAATGTCAATGTTAGTTTTGTTCATCTCCTTCTCTATTGACATTGAATCAACAAGGTCATTCTAATTCTTATTTATCATACCAAACAAAGGTTTCGCTTTATTGAGACAACAGAAGCATTGAGCTTTAAAAGACTATGTTTTAAAAAGATACTATTATGTTCTTATGTTTTTTTCAGGAGATTTTATATTGTAGGCCTTTACATTATATATCATTGATTTTCAAAGTAATAGTTTAAATGCAATATGACTGTACATGTGGGCAAGTCAGAGGTATGGCCCATATACGTTGCCAAGTATATATTCAATTGTCTTGACATAAAAATATCATGTTTTATGATTTTTTGTTGTTGTCTGATTCAAGCTCTCGTAGGGCTATCAGCTTGATACAGACATCAGATACACTGAAATCTTAGATGTGGTAGGTCGGTAACGTGTGGGACAAAATAGTTTGGATTTAACCATGTACTATAATACTGTCAGTAAGCGGACCAGTATACATGTCATGTGAAACTCTTTCTAAATAACCGGGGTATGGCCCTTACGTCACCAAGGATATATTCAATTGTCTTGTGATCGTAAACACTAAACATTGAAAAATAAGAAAAGAATCAAAGAAAGAGAGAAAAAAAAAAAAAAAAGAAAGAGAAAATCCCCCTTGAATGGTTCGTCTTGTGGAGTGTCAGGGTTTCGTATTGTTCAAGATCACTGCTCTGTCACCAATGTCCGGTGTTATTGTTCCCCCTTCGTCACTACCTAAATATTTCTTCCTGGTCAGTCTATAGTAGAACTTTCTATCAAATTATTACAGAGTTTGGTTTAATGGTACATTTTTAGCTGACTGCTAAGATAGCATGTGTATGATTGTAAGTAAGCAACCAGAGGACCGACGGCTTTAATTCCTCTCCGGTGGACTTGGTAATGAGGATAAATGCCTTAATAAAAGACACTAGCCCATCGACTTGGTTTCGAACCCGAGACCACTGCTCCACCACTGAGCCATCACGTCTTCTTACGTCATTGATTAGATTGTTAGTTATTAAGACATGCATATGCTTGTCACATTTTGTTTTAAAGGCCCACTGCACTACTGGTAGCTACTAGCGCCCTCTATATAACAAACAATGCCTAATCGGTGAACATTGGTCCCCCATGCTCCTCTTTTTCTTATGTTAACTCAGAGCTGAGTTGATGAGATAACCACCTGTTCAGTGACCTTGCAGAGCGGTCTAATCCCTCCTGTAAACTACGGCAGATAAGCTTTAAAGTGTTCCTGTAGGCTAGCACATTATCTACAACTGTCTAATTTTAAATAGTAGTCCAATAACATGGTAACCTTGTTCTTTGATAGAAGCAAATTTTTATTTCAAAAAGCATTTTTAGGACAAATCTCGTCATTGCTACCACTCAAGTACCTTTTCCTAGAAAGTTCAAGTGACCGTTTCCCCGTTTATTACCCATGAAAAAACCTTTACGAACACGGAAGCGCAATATGCATTTATTTGACTAAATCTTGAAACATGATTCGTTTTTAGGAAATCCTGCTTGGACTGAGTGTTAGAAAAGTACACGAGAGGGACAATGGAGGAAGTCTCGGCATTATTATAATAATATACACGTTCAATCATTGCATGTGTATCTTAGCGGGAGTTGCAACCTGGGCATATAACTCGTTGGAGAATTCATTAACTATGATTATTTCAGTACGACACGGTTTTTAATGGAGCTATATACAATGGCGTTCGATTTATTAATTTTCATTTCGATTGCCTAATTAACATAACGATTCACCCTTTGCTAATACTGGTATCTCTTCTCGTTGTCATTAAAATGCCTTATCATGCAGTCACCTAATTCGGCAATTGACTAATTGTTTTTTCTTCTTCTCGTTATCTATACAAAATCGTGTCAGACGCATGCTATCGTTTAATTATGATTTATGACTAATACATATATTAAATTTCCAACCTCTTGGTATTTTTCCATCAAAAATTGGCATAATATAACTGATTTGGACTTACAAAATGTCCAGTTTATGCTGGTCCAAAATGAGGTTATTTCATAGCTTTGCCTTTTTTCCTCAATTCAAGGAAAGATCGTCACTTGCGTAGACCGCATCTTTGCAAAATTACTAGAATCAATACCACATTTAGTGCACCGTATTTCCTCATTATTATTTTAATACAGCTTTTGGTGTGTGGTTATTTTTCTAGACACCAAAAAAGACAAACATAACAAAGCTCCATACAAATGTTTTAATATTGTGGATTTGACAAATACAGTTCAGTTGGTTCTCGATTGTTGTATATGTCTTTACATTTTCTATGAATAACACAACGATTGCTAAGTTCTTGGTTCGTGAGTTTCTAGTCTATTGTAAATTAGTGAATATGAAAATACGCGAAACCGCTCATGAACCCAAAACAGGTACAAAACATAATGAGTGGTTTGATGAACAAGCAAATCGTTAGCTATATGACACATTTCAATACCACTTCAAGGCCTTAGAGTAAAGGATTGCTTCAATTGAACGATAAATTAAGTGATAATCGTGCATGTCAGCTCTAATTAACAATACATAGATAAACCAAAATTTGCCAGGAATGATATACGCTATATAATCCATAGAATATTATTGAATTTTGAGCAAAATATTTGCCTTTCAAAAGGATATATTAATCTGTATAGTCTAAAGGTCTCTTTTAATTCGATTCTCTAAATCTAGCCCCCCCCCCCCCTCCCTACCATCACCACCACACCATTTTATGAGCTATTTGTACTTCGGCCATAGTGTTTGCTTGGCATTTGATAAGATCGTTTGTAAATTAGGAAAGCTGTGTCGATCCATTTTCGGGGTACAATTTATTGACGATACAAAATGTCAGTAAATAGACATTTAGTAAAAAATAAACTTTTGCAAATTTGGATTCAGGAATTCTTTTAAAGGGGTAGCTTAGGGAAGGGGAAGAGGTGCTGACAGCAATTATAATTTTAGGGTATACAAAATGGGGAAAAAGCCCCGGTACAACTTATTATTACCTCCCCTAGGCATAAAAACCAACATCTTAAAATGTCCCAGGAATTCGTCTGCATTCCACTTTGTATATATTATTAGCTATCATAATCTGCGTTTGCATGTACGTATACATCCAATTTAACTGATATCGTACAGCTAGAGCTGCTTTATTTGTTGAACAGTGACCAATTAATGCATTCCACTCACAAAACAAACATTCGTTACCATAACACCCGACAATGAAATGTCCAGAAGCGAATTGCCAACTTGTAACTTGATAACACGGTTATCTTGTACAAAATGTAAATGATAACGTTTTTATGTTTTGTTTTTGTTTTTTGTGTTTGATAAATTTGCCAATGCAAATTACTCTGGATTTTTCCCAACCTCCATCTCCTTTATTGACGTTTTAATATATAACATTGTCATTGATTGTGCTGGTTGTTCTTGAGGTTCAATGAACACAATGGTGTGATATGCATGTAACCATGACGACAGTTTCTGTGTATTTGGTAATCTAAAAGACTACCTGGTTAAAAGTGTTTTAAATTTGTTCCCAATAGATTGAGGAATAACTTTTTCACATTATTGTCATTGATTTCACCTTATCGTTAAAAAAAAGAAAATAAATGGGTGTAAAGTATATGTTTATTTGTTGCTCAATGTGTTTTATATTCGAATTGACACTCCCGAAGGTAAAAATGTTTTTACAGAAATATTTATATATACATGAATATATGTGCACTGCTCGACTGTGTTTTTACTTTAAAAGCTCATACTTCCGAACAGTGCATGTGTTTGTAGTGCATGTGTTTGTTTTCTTTTTAAATCTTTCTTTCTTTTTTCCTTCCTTTTTTTTCTTTTTAGATTAATCTACAAAAATACGAGCTCTACCTTTTAGTACATTTCTCAATTTTCTTTAAATACTACTTGACTTATGATAATATTATGCCTTTATATCATGTATCCTAAAATGCTTTGATCGCTTATCAACATTTCATATTGTATAATTACAAATAAGTTTCATCTTCTATGTAATAATGCAAATGTAATTTGATATAAATTTTATGTAAGCATTCTTCATATTTTGATTTAGTTATGGAAATAAAATCATTTTAATTGAATCATCTTTTACAGGTTGTACTTATCTGCTTGGTCATCGAGATGCTGTGATGCAAGTTCCCTACTTCAAGCTGAGTTCTCTATGGTGAATAAAGTCATTTCGGACAACGTTTATAGGTCTCAACACTGAAGTGGTGGATATAGTTCTACAGATTACCTATACGCCGCCAATCTACTGGCGCCCATTGCGGCGAAGTGCTTGGAATCTTATTGGAGGGAGGTGAAAGGTCAGATACCTTGAGCAAAGATGGAGGAGGTAGACTACAAGAGGGTTGGGGAGATCATGTGGACGGACAAACCTTTCAGGCTCCGAGAACTACCGGCTTCCTTTGGATTCCCGCTCCTCATCAAGGTGACGAAGGGGTCGGACGACATGGAACACAAGGAGAAGTTCTCGACAGGAGAGGTAATTAATAATGATGGTGGTGGTGGTAGTGATGGTGGTGTGATGGTGATGATGAATTGTTGATGATCATAAGTATGATAATGGTGATTGTGATAAAGATGATGATAATGATTATGATGATGATAATGATAATGGTTATAATGACAATGATGATGAGGAAGAGGATGATGGTCCTCATCAAGGTGACGAAGGGGTCGACAGAATTTCTCGACAGGAGAGGTAATTAATTATGATGGTGGTGGTAGTGATGGTGATGGTGATGATGATGGTACTGAAGAATAGTGATGATAAATAATTATAATTATGGTGATTGTGATGAAGATGATGATGAGGAGGAGGAGGAGGATGAGGATGAGGAGGATGCTCCTCACCAAGGTGGAGGGGTCGGAAGAGAATAGGAATTCGCGAAAGGAGAGGTAAATATGATGGTGGTGATAGGTATGTAGCGATGGTGGACGTGATAACATTGATAATGACAATGATGATGATGGGGATCACACTGATGTGATGGTAGTGGTGATAAGTTGAACTTGAAATGCATGATAGTGACGATGTTAAGAGTGATGGTAGTAATGACAGAAATGAAGGTGGTGATGGAGACGATATTAAGTCAAGATTGTGACGATGATGAATATGTGGAGATGGATATGATGATGTTAATCATTGTAAGGTTGAAGGTTACTAATGGTAATAACTTAAACTGATATTTCGATGGTATATACAATACGATATGGATAACATTCTTTGAGGAAGAAAACCTACAGCTACATACATAATACATGAAGATTGTAGTACACATGTGATTACGCGAGGGGTTTGATAAATATTTGATTGTCATGACACGCTTTCACCTTTCCTCAGATTCTACGGATTGACGGAGAAGAGAGACAGAGGCGAGTTATTGCGGCGGACTCGAAGGGCAGACACTGGAGTTTTCCTGTTCATATCGGAGCCAAATTTGATGTCAAAGGCAAGAAAGGTATGCGTGTCAAAACATAATTGCATTAACTTGTAATGATTCTGCATCACATTTTAAAGCCATTGGCGTCAGCAAGCAATTCATTTCCAGGTTGGAAGATGCTGAAGACTGAAAGACATTGATAAGAGCCATGAGGGAGATAAAAACGTAAAACCTTGTGCACAGAGTGAGAAACAGACGCTTAATGACGACGTAGATGATGATGATGACGATTCTAATTGCTAGCAATAAATATAAATAAAGTATGGTTTTAAGTTGCCTTACTCATCAGTGGATAGTATATCTTATAATAACAAAGCCCATGACAGTCTTGATTTCAGTGTAGTAGATTCCAATTAGACATCTATTTATCAATTAAAGAATGAATTCTATTAAGAAAAATATACTTCGACAATCTGTTGAGATTTGAAGATATAAGCAGATGCACAGACAAAATGTGTTGCAGGATTACTTGACTATTGAATCACGAATAACGTTTATGTTTTGAAGACACCATCGTGAGAAATTATGAACGTCGAGTTCAGTACAGCAGTTTCTTCCATTTCCTCTCTGATCTCCGAACAGATAGGCGCAATTCGATGTACATGAGCGAGATTGTGGAAGCGAAGAAGCTTCCCAAAAAGTTCTGTTTCGCTAAGAAGGATGAAATGCAGATGAGGATTACAGGAGAGGAGCATTCCGGACCCTTAGTAGAGGGTGACTTCAAGACCAAGGAAGTGACGAAGGTCAGGATCTTCAAGGCAAACAGGATCAGTGACGGTAAGAATGATGCAAGTTTTTTGTTCCTGTGTTGCTCATTGCAAATGTGGCGTCATTTGACTCACGTAGTACTGCGTCATCGACTGACGCAGCCTTTGGCATGCCTTGATAAAGAGTGATGAACAATAATAAACAGTGCAAAAATTGCTTTTAATCACTGCCAAGACCAAGAAAGTGACTCGAGTCAGGTGAAGGCCAACAGGATAAGTGACGATAAGAATGACGCAAATTATATAATGTCAACTACACATGGGTCACATGGGGCGTCATTTGCCTGACGCAAGAGAGCGTCATTAACTGTCGCAGCCTTCCTTTGACACGTCATGTCAGAGTGATGTCATGCGAAAGAGAAAGTGTTTAAAAAAAAATTGATTTTGATCACTGGCGCATGTGCTTATCGTTTTCACAGGTTTCATTAACGCATGTATTAGCGCAATCGAATTGACGCATCGGGTGCAACATGCATAATATGCACCAGTCACACCTCAGAAACAGACGGACATTATTCAAAATCAATTTTGTCTCTCCTTGTCATATCTGCTTACCAAATCTTACCAATTGGTTTTCTTCTGTCTTCTTTGCAGGCGACATCAAGCTCAAAGTTGTTTTTCTGCCTGCCTACATGGATGTCGAGGTTGTCATAGCAACCAAATTTGCTTGTGAACCGGATGCATATTGGGAGGAGTACATGGATGCGATGACGCGTGATATTAACAAGAAGGTCAACTTGAATATGTACAGGGGCAAATCAGGTAAGTTTGTGCCTCTTTATTATCGTCGAAGGCAGCAGATGACAGTTGACACAGTGCTATTGGTCAGAAGAGTTTGACCAAATCGTTTAGAGTTGGGCATGATATGGCGAATACTACTGTGCTGGGCAAGCGCAAAACAAAAAAAATATACACCATCTCGTTACCAAATTGGCTACTTAACAATCTGTGTGCAGATGGCTCTGAGCTAACAAGATGACGAGAAATTATTCAATTTGCAGTTCCTTTTAATTTTATTATAATATTGTTTAGTCGAGAACACTATCGTCAAAGGGGCATTCGGGAGAGAGTGTTCACCCAGGGTGCTCCCTTCTCCTTGAATCACCGTAAACGTTTGACTGTGACATGTACATTTTGTTATACAATGAAATAAAAGCCTCGGACATCAAACTAAATGGCCACAGGATTTTTATTCCTTTTTTCAATGAAGTGGACTGTTGCGCATTGGCCTTAAGGTGTGTTAGCTTTGTGCAGTCATATTTTTTTTAAAACTTTCAGTGAAAGCTTTAATCAATTATTCATAAACAAAAGCAACTCATTGAATTCGAACAAAGAAATGTTGTCAAATATAAGTAAAAGCAAGCTTGATACATATTCGTTAATTTGGATATTCATTGCAGATATCCAAATTTACGAGTTCTCTGAGAAGACCAAAAAGTCAAAGGCGAAAACAGAGTGTTTGTACGAGGAGCAACCACCGACCAAGATCGTCTCCGTCGGGAGCATCATCAAACAAAGACCATCCAGTACCAAAAGAAGGACACCGACAAGGACGCCCTCTACGTTATCAGATGGACGATATCCAAATATGGTAGGTCAAGACAGTGGCATGCACACTTGTGGCCTGGATTTAAAATAAGAGCTTCATGTCGGGGGTGGGAGGAGAAGCACTTGTTGTATGAAATGCAGGAAAACAGTGATAGGGAGTAAAGGGAAGAGATGGAAGTGGTTTTATCACCTTAAGTTGTGTTGCCTTTCCTCTATCTCCATTTTTGTTCTCTTCTCTTCTTTTTAAATTTTTTAGTTTTTTTAATTGATAAAGATTAACATGCGTCCATGTTGGTATAAGTGGTATCTCATGCAATAGATCCACTGTTTAGAACAAGAAAAATGCATGATGGGTCGATATCCCGATTACTTGATTGTGTTGTTAAGTATTTTCCTTAAAGCCCCACTGCACTACTTATAGCCTATCTACTTGCTCTATATAGCAAATAATGCCTAATCGGTGTCTGTTCGTCCCCCGTGATACTCTTTTTCTTGTTATTGAGAGCTGATTTGATTAAATAACCACCTGTCAGTGACCTTGCTGGGACGTCTAATCCTCCTGGCCAAACTAGTGCAGACGGGCTTTAAGCTTCACCTCTGTCCCTTCCTCCCACCCTTCTTATGTGTTTAAACACTCTAAATGCTTTCCTCCCGGTATCCATTCTTCGATATGACTGTATATATGAACTTTTCACCAATTTCTTACATTCTTGCTCTACAGAGGCCGTTTAGCGCTCCGAAATCTGAGCCAGAGCCAGAGGAACCGCAACGAGCAGTAGCGGATATCTTGAACGATCTACGGGACAAAGATGAATCTGAGATGACGGAAGAAGAGATTCGCGTTGCCAAGCACCGCAGGATGTTGCTTGCCATGTTCGCTGAGGAGGAGGAAGAGGAAAAGGAGAGGAGACGATCAGGAGCGTCTTGCGAGGTTGATGAGGTTGACGGGGATGCCAATGATGATGATCAGAATGATGATAATAATGAGGACGATGATGCCGACGATGACGAGGATGACGAGGATGATGATCAGAATGATAATAATGAGGACGATGATGCCGACGATGACGAGGATGATGATAATGACAGTAATGACGACAATGACGACAACGATGAGTCAGTGGACACGAGAGGAGAAGAAGATAGGGATGTCCTAGATGAAGTCCAGCGGCCCCGATCACCTGGTGATGGTTCAACCATCTCAGCCGAGTCGGAAAACAACGGATCCGTCTGTGTCGATGTTTCTCCTGCAGAATCAAAGCCTCCTATACCCGCCCCTCGTACCCATGGTTTAAGTCACAATCAAAGTCCCTCATCACCAAACCTGCAACCTCCGGTCCAGCAGGTCGATAAACCCATCACAAAATCCCCACCACAAAATCCGCTCAAACCTCAGCTTAAACCAAAGCCAGCTCTACCAGGGAAAAAACCAACCCTTCCGCCGAATAAACCTGCTGTCCCCTCGCATAAGCCCTCTCTCAAGCCGCCAGTAGTCCCACATGGTTCGACCGAACACAGTCAAGCTCGGGTGGTTAATTCGTCCGATCAAATCCGCTTTGCGAATATCCAAGACATTCCTGCCAACCTCAGCGGCCTGACTATCGATGACATGTGTAAGGCCTTGGAATTCTTATGCCTTGATAAATACGAAGCTCAGATCCGAGACAACAAGATAGATGGCGAGATGGCCTTGGAACTTTCTGAAGACACGCTCAAATCAGACCTAGGTCTCAGTGGCCTCGATGCAAAGAAACTCTATAACTTCATCCATCACAATTGGAGACCAGTTTGATGTAGGTCTTTCCTCCTAAACAACTCATCACTAGAAACTAGGATTTTGTTACTGATATTGTTCTTGTTGCTATCATATATTGTGGCTCAATTTTTGTTGTATCCTTTCTCATTTTGTTTTTACATATGTGCTATATTTTTTAAGTAATCAATGCTGTTTTCTCTGATACACTACCTACTACAAATGATAAACTCAAAACTCTCTAAAACGGCCATCCATAATTATTATACCAAAGCTCTTCGTTGTTTAATTTCTCTCGCGAGAATTTTCGTTTCAAGTGTACACTTTACATCGACAGTGAACCTTTATATAGAGGTGAGATATTGTACAATGTTTGACTTAAAGAGAAAATTTAGTTTTGGGGAGAGGTTAAAAATAATTTGTGAGCGTTATCATTGTTATTATGCAAGTGTGGAAGGACATCAGAGAAAAAATGTTCCCTGAAAAGCATGGGTCTTCAAATGCCTTTATATGCTAAATATGACATGTAACAGCTTAAAAATGAGGCCCGATTTGTATGCCTCATTGTGTAGTCTCATATACATCGTTCTGTCCCGGTGGGGGGGGGGGGTGTGCCGCTCTATTGGGTCATTTTTTTTCACACAAAAAATCCCTAAACATGGGTCCCACTTTTAACAAAAATACCATTAAAAATGGGTCCGTTTTTTTTAAATTTGCAAAATTTTCGGGCGTTTAAAAACACCCCCAAAACAACCGAAAATTGTGAAAAATGCCCCTTAAATGCCCCATAATAATGGGTAGGGTTTCGAGGCTTGAGCGGCAGACCCCCGGCCAAACCAAATTTGAGTCCCCCCCCCCCCCCCTTTACTTTACCAAGACTGGGCCAAATTTCTTATCATTTTGATGACTCCAGAACCTTGCAGTACACACCAAATACTTGTACATGTATGTTAAATGATCAACTTTCTCTGATCGATTCCACACCGTATCTTTCACAATGCAATCGCATGACCAGAACTCATCTTGAAGTTTCGATTAAATTATATTCATTTTTTTAATACGGTACTTTATTTGTCCATCCTTCTTATATAATGCGACTAGAGGTTTAAATGGAAAGATTGAAGGCGAGTAAACTCATTCATTTAACTGCTGGATTTTCCCCCGAATAGAAAATTAATACTGTCTATTCAATTATCATACTACGCAATGTGGTTATGTGTACTGTGTGATATTCAAGCAGCATACAAATCTTGAAAGAAATATAATATCATTATTTTATCCTTTCACTTTTTAAGATGTCCATGTATTTTGTATTCTTGCCTGACAGTGTTTTAATAAATGTCGGCATCAAACTTGACGACCTTCTCAAATTGTATTGATCTTATTTGTGACACTGCCTGATATTCATCTTCAGTGGATTAAACCATGCTTAAACCAAAACAAAATTTGACGTCTTTGTTTGATACTAATTACATTCCGGACAACTTTCATCTTCCACACCACCTTTTAAAAACACGAACAAAGTTAAACATCACACACGAGAGCAACTACCTTCGAAAAATCAATCTAAGAAAATGTCAGTAGCCTTGTGCGTCTCCCATTGAAATGTGCGAACATGACATTGACGTATTACGTAATCTGAATATGATTTCTATTACATTTACAATAGGTATTGGAATTGCTCTTGAGTAGATATTTCGAAAAAAAGTTGCTATCTTGACCTCAATTTTGAAGGCGAATCAACAAACACCAAATGTTAGCACTAACAACGGGTCTGAAAACTTTGTTAACATGTTTGATGACTCTTTGTACAACTTTGAGAAGAAATTCAGTAAATCTGTTCGGATAATTTCACAACTTTCTTTTCATTTGTGAATTTCGACATAAATGTTTAAAAGTTGACCGTCCGCGAAGTTTTGACTTGTTTCGTTACCCGTTAACATTTATAAAAATACATGGATGAGACGGAAAATCGCGGACTAGAAATGAGAAGAATAGAAGTGAATGAATTAAATGGAGAGAAATTAGAAGTGGACGAGGAAGGAGAAGATGGGATGAAAATTATACGCGTAAAAAATAGTAAGATTTTGTTTGAATAGAAAAACGTAATGTTTTATTAAAAAAGAGTTGTTGTATTGCCCTCTGCGACCGACCCCAAAATCTTAAAATCTATGGTCAACTTTTTCACCGTTTTTTTAGAAGAGAAAATTAATTAATAAAAAAATATGTTTTGAAGCACTCAAAACTGAAAAATAATAACCCAAAGAGGGAGAAAACAAAATCGACCTTCCGATCCAGGTGCTGGCACCTAAAGGGCAATACAACATCTCTTTTTGTTTGAGAAAAGAATGCGAAAATAGAGGAAGAGAGGTAGACAAACCAAACAGAAACAATTAGAAGGGATAGTCCCGTTCGTTTCCGAACTGTTAGCATGAATAAGAGTTCCCTGATTTCGTTTTGCATTTTTGGAAATACACTTCCAAATAATGTCATGTAAATAATATATTAGCATTGTGAAACAGTTGGTTCTAAAGTGATATAGATGAGCACAAATATTTTGAGGGTTTTGCACGCCCCAGTCAATATTTGAAAAACAAGCCACATAGACTCAATCAATAATGAACGGTGTGCAATAATGGTATTATGCCAAATGTTTACGAAATCTATCCAGGGCTTTAAAAAGTTATATTTCATGATTATCCTTTGAAATATAAGAACATAGATGTTTCCATTAAAAACATAAACAAACAGGCGCATGTCAAATTTTCAACAGACTCACTGTCCTATGTGATTTTAAGTATTTAGTGATTAGGTGATTTTATATATTTTAGTCAAATAAATCGTCGAAACTGACAGTCACGTCAGGCCTAAATGCATTAGAAGTGACGGAAGTATTTGGTGACATTTCATGAATAGATGCATCCTTTGAAGAAGAAAAAAAAAGGAAAATTCCTTGAAGACTCAAATCGAAAAATTAAGCAAATCTTGATTTTCATCCTATCAGAAAATAATGTTTTACGGTCGTTTTTACTGATTTAAAGAGCTCGTTTGATCGTATTTTCTTAATTGGTCATGAGGCTGTGTTCTGTTTGCAACACCTGTTTATGGGGATTTCATAGTACAGTTCTTGCAATTGATTTGATTTATATTCGATTTTGTTTAAATCCTTATTATTATCAATTTTTGTTTAGCTTGTCTTGAAATGTCGATAGCATTATAATATACAAGTACGTTTGACATATTTTTCTGAAATTTCCCTTTTTCTAAAAATATAATCAGTAACTGTGTAACTGATGACGTCAATCAGACTCTGATTACGTCACAACTATGAAACAGTCGCATTGTTTGTCAAGGAATTTTTCAGTTGGTAAAAATGGAAATATACGATTGTTGAGAAAACATTTTTATTAGTAGGTTCTAAGAATGATACGGCGTGACTGAATACGTCATAATATACTTTGCACGGTGAACTTTTGTGATATATTTGCACAATGGGTTCAGCGAATTTCTATGAGGATATTAATCTGGGCCAAAGAATGGATTGTTCAGACAAAAAAAAATCATACTCCTTATTGACATTCGGACCAATTGTTATAAATCTAGACCCAGTGTTTACTTGAATGCAGTCTTCTTTCTTATACACATAATATGTTATATCTATAACCGTGTATGTTTAACATGTATACTTTCTCGATTTACTTGGATTTTCTCCTCTTTCTTTGGAACATGAATGGATGTTCATGTCTCAAGCACCTCCCCTTGATCCCCTCCCCCTGTTATACGCTGTATTTCTCATTCGCTTAAAATGGTAGTCATCTCTCACAAACTTTCTAGTCCGCCTCGTGCAGTATTTAGATGGCAGATAGCTAACGTTTTAATAGAGATAGTTAACAGCAACGTATGAATTACTAAGTACATTTTGATACTTTTTCCCACAAAAAATGTTGCGGTTTTATCTGAGACTGAAACCTGTTTGATATATCCTTCAAAAACTGAAAGATAAGAAGGTTCAGAGGAAAATAATATTGTCTTTCCATTCCCAACGTAATTGAGGGAATTCAAGATTGTATAGGAGACACATTCTGTTTATCCAACTCTCAAACAATAATGAATCAGAATTATTTACCGAAAAGTATACTGCGAAATTGAGGCTTGTATGACGTGCAATGGAGACCTTAACTTGTATGCCATACTCGTTGATTCTACCGTGAATGGCCTCGTCACAGCGGGTGATCAAATACAAAACACAATGCCATATTTGGTAATATTTGTCGAATATTATGCTAGAAATATTCGCTTGACAAATATCGTCACAATATAATATACATAACATGGCTTGTACCTGTAGGCGGTATAGGAATTCAGTTATACGATTCGCTTAATCTTGCCCATTTTATCCATCTGAGTGGTAATGACTAAGTTCTGTGAATATTCTTGTACACCGAAAACTAAAATCTAAATAGTCATGCATTTACACCCTCTCAGTATAAATGATTTACATACATTAAACATGGTCTTCCAAACTGTCGGTTGGAAAACTTAACAATATTAGATATTGTTAAAAATATCATTGAAATATTGTATATTGAACGTAAATATTTTAGACTAATTTCACCTTTCTCCAATTCTCTTTCTCTCTTTCTACCCCCCCCCCCTCTTTCTTTCTCTTCTCTCTTTCTCTCTCTCACACTCACTCCCTCTCTCTCTCTCTCTCTCTCTCTCTCTCTTTCTCTTTCTCTCTATCTCTCTCTCCCGATCTTCCCCTATATATCTAACAAGGACACTGCCACGAAATCACCTCAATTGTACCAACAAATGCATGAAGGTCAGATAAACGCAAACTGTGAAAAATAAAAACAACACTTTTTGTAATTTTGATGTGTAATCCACCAAATATTTGTTATGTTTACTTTGGCCTCGACCGAGGGGTTGCTATCTAAAATAATTGTACAATTAGTTGAGCCAATATGAATATGCACTTCAGAAACAAACATTTATACAAAAATATCAGCATCCAACGATCATAAATTCTTTCACGAAATTCACCCAGGGGCAAATTCGATACCCTATTATATATCCCATAGAAATAATGTTCGGATTGCTTTAAAACTCAATTTAATGTTCGCACACGTCAACGGGTGGTGGTGAACTGGGCTATTGAGATTATCTTAGCCTAATTTTTCAAAAGTCTTTGGTGTTACACTTAGTTCAGAATTGCTGATAATAATCGGGGATATTATAATTTTCGGGTGCTTTTAGTCGTAATTTTCTCCTGGGCGGGGGCACATCGTACATTGTTTTTATTTGTATCTACTTTAAGTATGTCAGATTTGATATCTATCAGGGGGAGGGGCCATGTGTGCCCCTTGCCCCTCCCTTGGATCCGACACTGCCCTCATCATAGTCACGTGAAGAGGTAGTGGACCTGTTAGTGCTTCATTAGGAAGATAATTATTGTTTGCATTCTGAATACATGGAGCTTAAGTGCCCGTGGTAATTGCTGTGGAAATTAGAGAGAAAAAAAATCTTGCTTTGGAAATGAAATGTCATTTATGAAACAGAAACTTTGCTGTTCATAGCATCGGTGTAAGAGACAAAGAGGAGAAAGAGGCTTTAAAAAGACAATTGAAATTAAAGATAGAAAATTAAAGAGAGAAAGAAGAAGAGAAAGGAAATATGCATTATGTGTAGAAGAAGAATAGAGGAAACTTATATTGTAAACACAAATCAGACTTATAAATGTTCTTTGAAAGAGATATAATCATTGGGAAAACCATTTTACCGCAGCATCATATTCATTATAAGCTATGTCAATAGTTTCTGTCTATAACCAAAGCTGCCCATACAAATTATGTTTATCATACACAATATAAAGTAGGCATTTATCATTATTCCTTAAACACACTTGTATCCTGTGCTAATTCAGATTATTTTGACTGATTTAATTCAGGATTCATTTGATTCAGTGTTGGCGATACAAAAAATTTTAACATTAATTACTCGCTAAATGTACAACATAATATAATATAATGAAGATTTATCAAATCTAGACATGATAATTATTTTCGATATAAAATTGGATGGCGCCCCCCCCCCCCCCCCTCCAAGAAAAATGTCTTGGTAAACCTCCGCAACCTCATAAAAGACCTTCATATCATTTTGCCTGAATTCATGTTGGTAAACCCCATTCACTTATAAATTCTGAAACTATAAAGACCGTTTTGTTATTCTGACAAAGGAATTTCTAGGTGAGCCTTGATCTGGCTTATATATCAGTACCTGACACGCAAATGCACACACGTTCTGTTCCCACAAAAGGGAAAGAAGACATGTATTTCAAGACCATATAACTTGCCTTGACATTCTGTACTTAGTGTTTGGTGGAAAGGTGAATGGGTCATCCTTTTCTCTGTATGTTATGTGTGACCAGAGACGATAACGAGAAAACTTACTGTAGAAAGACTTGAGAGGGGATTTACAAAAGCCATGACTAATTGTTTACACCTCCATCTGTATCTATCTCTCTCCCTCTCTCTCTCTCTCTCTCTCTCTCTCTCTCTCTTTCTCTCTCTCTATCTGTCCTACTCAGTTTCCTTTATATCCTTTTCTCTGCTTCTTTTTATTATCTCCGTTTATTATCTCTGCTCTTCATCTTAATTCTCGCTCCACCTTCTATTTCACTATATTTTCTGCTGCCCCCAGATCCCACACTCATTCTATTCCTCTCCACCCGCTTTACTTTGTATTTCCTATCTCTTCTCTCTCCCCTCTAATCCTTTTCTCGCTGTTTTTTCTCCTATTATCCCTCTCCCCTTAATAACAATTCTACCTTCCTCTCTCTCTCTCTCTCTCTCTCTCCCTCTCTCTGCCTCTATCCTACTCCTGTCGACATCTCTCTCTTTCTCTCTCTCTCTCTCTCTCTCTCTAGCTCTCTCTCTCTCTCTCTCTCTCTCTCTCTGAGGCGACCTTACAATAAATGTTACACCCACCCGACCCCCCCCCCCTTTATTTTTTGACACGCAGATAGGGCTACACATGCTGTGGACATTTTGTTTTGTTCAGCCTTGCTCTGTTGTCCTTTCTCAACCTCAACCTCTCTCTCTCTCTCTCTCTCTCTCTCTCTCTCTCTCTCTCTCTCTCTCTCTCTCTCCCACTTGTTCAGAAAAACCACTCAAGCTCATCTGCCTTTCCAGTACCCATTATGATCGAGTGGTGTCAATAGAGAGAGAGAAGGGCCCGAGCACGGTACACAGTTTCAATACATTTGCTACCGGTGTTATCTCCCATATAAGGGTATATACAGGAATGCACACACCTGTGGATGAATAGCATTTGCAATATCATCGTCTTAATAACGCCGGGCCAACGGAAAAGGGTGGATATTTTCAGCGCAGTTATCTACACACGTAAGTATATTGTTCACTTGTGTCTTTTTTAAATACACGTATTTTTATCGAAAGTATTTTGAAGTGGTCGAAGTCTCGGCGAAGTCTTCTGCTCAGTTGGTTCCATTTCACGTTATATTGATTTTGGCCATGTTTTCGCTTTAGTTTCATAATGAGGGGAAGTACACTGGATCATGGTGTTCATTGTTGCTAAAAATGCATTTATGTGGATTTCAAAAAAATAATGTATAAAGTTGTAGGCCTATTATATAAAACGCTTGGCTTCAAGATTGTTTGGGTTATCTTGTCAGAGAAAACTTGATGGAACATGACAAAACAAACCAAATATGAGACGTTTAAACTTGTTTCTCAAAATTACAATGCGAGAATTTTACTGTTGCAGTTGTACAGAAACGTTATAACGTACAAGTATGGATCCATCCCTCATCTTTGCGCGTTACCATCGTATATTATAGTTTAGTCATGAAATCATTGATGACAAAAGCTCTCAGCAATTTGATTGAGGTCACTCGCTCACAGAGAGAAATAATAAATAATTTTTTTCCACCCCACAGTAGAGTTTCAATTCAAATTTGTAATTGAACATCGTGCATGGAGTATGATTCTGTAAATGTTTTGCTCCAAATTTCAAAAGACGAACCAAGAGAATAATTACGAACGTGGATAAAGTTTTAAATATGGTATTATTAATATTGTCTGTATAACATTGTCATTGACTTGTTATAATCTTGTGGAGTCGTACATAGAACCTGTATGAACGTATTTAGTTCAAACATTTAGTTTCGAATTAAGAAATCAAGCTTTCATTTCCATGCCGTCTGGAAATTCACATTGATCTAATGTTAAATCAAGTGTGTATTTTCGTGAGAAATGTTTTTCCTATACTGTGTATACATGCATGCACGTGTCTGACATATTACTTTCTAAACAAATGTGTATTTGTTATAATTAGGTATGCATTTACATCCAGCTGTCGTTCATCATCTACAATTGAGAGTAAAGATTCAGTAAAATATTTAGGAATAAATTTAACTAGTGATCTGTCATGGACAGGTTTGGTAGATTCAATTGCCAAAAAGGCTAATTCTCGCTTAAAATTTTTGTATAGATACCAAACATGTATGAACATGAAGTCGAGACGTATTTTGTGTTTTGCTTTGATACAATGTTTATTTGATTATGCTAATGCTGTTTGGTACAGTAGTCTGGGCAAGATGGATAAGAAAAAGTTAAGAATAATTCAGAATAAGATGGTAAGATTTATTAATTGCTTAGGCCCAAGAACACAAGTCGGGAAAGATGAACTTGAAGAAGCAGGTATACTCTATGTAGGTCAAAGGTCTAAACAACTCGTGTTACACCATGTCCATAAAATATACTACTCAGATGTAGATCATTATATTACTAATAATTTTACTCGTGTCTCAAATATCCATGGATACGATACAAGAAATAGTCATTTTAATTTTGTTTTACCCAAGCGAAAAGGACAAATTGGAAACTCTTTTTATTTTAATGGTATCCAATTTTGGAATTCTCTCCCAAAACATGTCAAAATAGTTAAGAATTTTTCACACTTTAAAAGTGTATTAAAACAATACCTAAAGCATGAATCCCTTCAAGAACAGTAATATCAGTTATCTTAAATCACAGTTCATTATGTGTAGCGCATGTTTTCAAGTTTAATCTTGCATAATATACCGTAGATCATTGTTTGCTATAAGTTCTAGAAATTTTTGTTGTTGTTTATGTTATATTATTTATTCGTAATATTCGTAGTAGTTATTAGTTGTGATATTTTATTCTCATGCCGTACTGTACACGTACTTTATAGGACCCCGTTGGAAATAAGCCTTTTCCGGCTTTCATGGGTTATCCTGTCAATGTATCTTCTCGTTTCATTTTGCTCTATGTAAGCATTCAATGTACTTTACTTGACGAATAAAATCAATCAATCAATCAATCTAATTACAGTATTAGGCTCGATCGGACTGATTACAAAATAAAAATGATGAAATACCCCTAACTAGAATCATTTGTGTCAAAAATCTCTCAGGTTGATGATTTTCAAAAGTATAAATCGCCAGGTTTATTCCATAATTTTCCATCAATTCAGATGAATATGATAACAATTTGGTGATTCATTTCCCCGCGGACCCTCTTTTCGATACAAAAGTGATAGGTTTAAAGGGAAAGTCCACCTTGAAATTAGGTTGGTTTTCATAGAAGCAGAAAAATAAGGGGTCATTGGAAGTTTTGTACAGGAAATTCCATAAACTTTCACTTTCACACAGGGGTTGTATAAAAACATATTTGCAATAATCATATTTAGGGTGAATGTTTGATTGAAAATTTTCTGAGGGAAACATATAATGTTTGAAGTTTTTTAGTAGAGAGGAGGGGAGGGGAGCTCGCAAAATACGTCCTTACTGGTATCTATACTATCAGTTATAATATGTCTAACAACATTCAAACCGATGAATTATGCTTTTAAATCTAAGCCCCTGTCATAACTCGTTACTAATGCCGATCCAGATGAACTGAGTGTGATAATAATAATTTGATTTTTCTCCCGGAGACTTGTTATAGAGATCCCCGCATAACATTATAATAGCAAATATATTGCATACACACCTATTTGATCACACAACCAAAGCAAACAGACAAAGTAGACTAGTGTTCTTTCACTTCTGATTTCAAGGACTACTCCAGCCAATATCATATACCACTTTTGTTCGATGTGAAACGGACAAACATCGAGAGTTTATGTTTTTGTACGGAGCTAATGCAGAGTTTTCAAGGAAATGCTATCGTTTGGATTTTTGCTATTAGATGCCTGTGATAGAGAAAACAGCAAAGTCTGTTTCTTTCAGATTGCTTATATGCATGTATACATAGGCGCCGGAAGTGGGGGGGCAGGGGGGCAGTTGCCCCCCCAGTCAAAAAAGTGGGGGGGCAAAACGCATTTTTGCCCCCCCAAAACGCCCCCCCCCCCCCCTCCAAAAAAAAAAAAAAAAACAGTAAAGGAGTAAACATGGTTTGTATTTTTAATCCAAAAGAACGTAACAATAATAAAAACCTGAATTAAATCACATATACAATTCCATTCAAAGAAAAAGGAAAGTTCACAGGAATTAAATTTCATAAACATTGCGCATGCCACCTATACGGTATTTATCAATGGAGGTCTCTATAATAGCGATACGCGCATATCGTGGACATATTGTGCGAGAATGGGAAAGCGTGTCCGTTTTTTTGTTATAGGGGTGAGAAGACATGAGCCCCTGAACGTTGGCGTACTGATGGGGGGGGGGTGATGTATTTCTTATTCGAAACAAGTGATATACAAATGTTGATGTTGTGACATGATTTTCCGGCATTTTTTCTCCATTTTTTTTGTAAGTCATACCTTCTTATGCGTTTGTTGGAAAATAAGAAATTCCCAAATTACAGTCGGGCGAAATACGCTTATTTAGAAGCCTTTATGTCATGGTCTACAAAGTGGCTGGGCTCGAGCCCCCCCCCCCCCCCCCCCCTCCTTTTTGAAAAAGTATGTTAAAGAGAAAAAGAAAGAAAGACGGAGAAAAAAATAAGTGACCTTAATAAGTGACCGTAATTAAATGCTTAAAACCCCAGAGCTTACGGGGGCTCTGCCCCTGGACCCCAACAAGGGCTCTAAGGCGGGCCCCTGGATGCTCATCTGACCGTAATTAAATACCTAAAACCCCTGAGCTTCCGGGGCTTTGCCCCTGGACCCCACCAAGGGCCCTAAGGCGGCCCCCTGGATGCTCATCTGACCGTAATTAAATACCTCAAACCCCTGAGCTTCCGGGGCTTTGCCCCTGGACCCCACCAAGGGCCCTAAGGCGGCCCCCTGGATGCTCATCTGACCTTAATTAAATACCTAAATCCCCTGAGCTTCCGGGGGCTCTGCCCCCTGGACCCCACCAAGGGCCCTAAGGCGGCCCCCTGGATGCTCATCTGACCTTAATTAAATACCTAAAACCCCTGAGCTTCCGGGGCTTTGCCCCCTGGACCCCACCACGGGCCCTAAGGCGGCCCCCTGGATGCTCAGCTGACCGTAATTAAATACCTCAAACCCCTGAGCTTCCGGGGCTTTGCCCCTGGACCCCACCAAGGGCCCTAAGGCGGCCCCCTGGATGCTCATCTGACCTTAATTAAATACCTAAAACCCCTGAGCTTCTGGGGGCTCTGCCCCCTGGACCCCACCAAGGGCCCTGAGGCGGCCCCCTGGATGCTCATCTGACCTTAATTAAATACCTAAAACCCCTGAGCTTCCGGGGGCTCTGCCCCCTGGACCCCACCAAGGGCCCTAAGGCGGGCCCCTGGATGCTCATCTGACCGTTTTTAAATACCTAAAACCCCTGAGCTTCCGGGGGCTCAGCCCCTTGACCCCCTGCCGAGGCTCATGCCCTGGACCCCACGCCAATTTACGCTCTACCTGATCGATAATACTCCACTTTGAAAAACGTTCCGCGGGACCTGCATGTAACGTGTAAGACTGGTGGTGATGCAGATTTTTCGTCTGCCCCCCCCCCCCTTCCGAACTTTATTTCTCATTACGTCACTGCCCCTGGAATGTGAGCCCCCTGGAATGTTTGCCCCCCCAATCCCAAACTGCTTCCGGCGCGCCTGCATGTATACAATTCAAAAACATTTTTGCTTTGTTTTGTTTCTTTCCAGGATTTAAGACATAGGAGAATGCAGTACATGAAAGCGACAAAGCGTAATCATGGATTTCTGAAGTCTGCGTTTGCTCTAGAGAGAACGTCTATCATGATCACCGTCATGTCGATTATTTGGGAAGCCATTTGATAGCAGTAATCGTTTGAAAGAGAACTTCGACAACAAATTCTTCTCATGATCGTGTTTTTCAATTATAAAATTAGGCCACCGGAAGTGGCAAGACTGAACCAGAAGCTCCAGAACTGAAGCTGAACAAAAAGAGATCTATTCCAATAACGACTCTGTCGGAAATTGATTATTATCTTCAAGTCTTTCGATACCGGAGCATTGAATATTCTGCCTCAACGTACAGCAAACTTTACATTGGCGGGAAAACGATCCATTTTTTAAGAATTGCCGTCTGGTATACTATATCGCCAGCTAAGTGATCGAGGAAATATCATCATCATGATGGATAAGCTGAGTGTGAACGAAAAGTTCAGGTTTGGTCGTCAAGCAATACAACTGAGGCAACTCGACAGCGATCAATTCCCGATCATCGTCAAGATAATTAGATGTGACATCGATGGGAGTGAGATCAAGAGTAAAGAGGTATGTAAACACAATGTAAGAACAAAAAAGGAAACAAATTGTGCAAAAGTGTATAACATGGGGGAGCTGTACGTCCCTTTCCCAAATCTCAACTTTCCAATTTCAAATGATTGCAGGCGAGTGACGCGAGTGAGCAGACTTTTCATCATAAATAAGATATTTTAAATCTATACAAATATACTGTTTCGCATCCGAAAATGGCATGGCAATTATCCGAATAAATCATGATTGCTCTGATTTATTTATTCACCATTCATGGGTTGGATTGCCCTTGTGAGCTAATAGGTGATGATGAAGCAGGTATCACAGTATAAGATGGCGGTTGCCAGGCTGTTGTTAAAGGTATAGACCAGTTCTGGTCATGCGATTACATTGTGAAAGAAATGTTGTGGGATCGATCAGAAAAGTTTGATCATCTAGCATATAAGTGTTGGTGTGTACTGCAAGGTTCTAGAATCATCGAAATGATAAGAAATTTGGCCCAGTCGTGGTAAAGTTACAAGCACTGTACACAGAAAGATGTATATGGGACTACTCTATATCTATCCAGTCCAGATAGACATAATAATTTACCAATTATATCAATTAGTTGGCGGTTTCCCGGCAAAATTTGTATCATCACGTATTAGTCAAAACATATTCTTTCCCATGATTGGTAATAAGAGCTTCCATTTCATTTTTTGAAATGGAGGCGTTTCCAAAACTGGTCTTTACCTTTAATATCATATTCGGTGGGTGGGTTGGGCCTGCCTCGCACTAGGAAGTGGAATCATATATCACGTTTCAACTTTGTGATAAAGACGGTGGGGCGTAACACTCTCACAATTTCTAATTTGTTGTATTTTATTACGTAATAGATCTTGAGAATCAACCATGCAGGCTTCGAGCGTCGAGTCTTGGCTGTTGATTCGATGAAGAGGGTCTGGAGTTTCCCCATCCATACAGGAGCCAAGTTTGATATCATCGGCAAGACACTAGGTATGTCATTCCCTGGTCGAGGCCGTGACTGATGTCCGCTCTTGATCAGAGATTGTATTCATATATTCAAGCCTAGTTATTTATTGTTGTTGGGGGGGGTCTTCATGTTGTGTTTGAAATATATAATTGTTTTCACGACAAAGACGCAATGAACGTTTTGTTGTTCATTTAAATTAAAAGTCGGTAGATCCTGTTGTGCTACATTCGGCATGACTTACATGCAAATAATAAACCTAATCAAAATTTATTATAAAATATTACACACCTGTATTCAAATTCACTTGAGTACTCTCCATTCAACATTATATCATCCCCTACAATACCATAATTTCTTTTAACAGTCCTTTTACTATAACAAATCGGTCAAAAGGTGGCAGTTATTCTGTTTGATATTTATCTGTAGTGGAAACCGTTTTTTCTACTGTGGAAATTTGTATAAATTTTGTTCCTACAGGCAAAATACATGTTTGATAACTTTCTCTTTAGGGGATGGAAAATATCTTGATTTGTCTTATTATATCAAATCTTCCGAATAATGATAGAAGCTCTGATTATTTATGTATAATGAACTAAGTTGTAAAAACTAGGCCATTATGTTTTGAATACCACATGGTCGAGTTCATTGCATCTCGTCACCCGACTTTTCTCAAAGAATCCTTCACCTTAATTTTTAACTTGCAGAAAGTCGCAAGTCCATCTACATGCGAGAGATCGTGGAAGCTACCGAGGGAACCAGTAAACGACCCAAGAAGATCCGCTTCTCCCAAATCGAGACGGCTCGGATCCGGATAGCCGGTCAGGAGCCGGGTGAGGGGTCATCAGACATGCTCAGTGGAGATTTCAAGATTAAGGATGTCACCCGGGTGCAATACTTCGCGGCTAACCGACTTGTAGATGGTACGTTTTGACATACATTCAGTGGCTTGGCTTCCTGAGGGGGAGTTCCATAATCGGATGGCGTAGAGAGAAAGGGAGAGATAAAGTATTTCATCCACCTATAAAGCCTGATGCCGCCCTATTTTTTGTTATAACAACTGTGCCCTCTCGATGACTGAACCCATGCTACGCCACTGAAGAATGGAAACAAATAGATTTCCATTGCTTTCAGATGGAAACAAAATCAAGGTTCAAAACTGCTTTATCAGGGCCAACTTATAATGACTGTCTAAATGATAATTGGCCCCTCAAACATTATACGATTTGACTAGAGTTTAGAAATAAATAGTGCTGTACTGTGCTTATGGCTTCAAAAAATCATTATGAAGAGCACAATTAAAATTGAACTGGTGGTTGTGATACTGATAGTGATAACAATTTTCTAATTATTTTCTGCAGACGAGATCAGTCCCAAAGTCGTCATACTGCCCTCAAGTTTGGACATCCATGTTACCATGGCAACTGGCTTGATCGGAATGCCTGCGACAGCTATGACGTCGTACATGAGCCAACTCACGAGAGAGATCAAGTCATGGGTGAACTTTGACATGTGCAGAGGAAGTTCAGGTATTTAAACACTGCACCAAAGTAATACATGAGGGAGTGACATCGTCAGAGACAGAGGGATTTACAAACATTGAAAGAAATAGGAGGAAATTTTATTGCAGTTTCTCGAACATGCTCAAGTTGTTTCTTATTGTGAGATGTCTGTTGAAATAGTCAATAAATATCATAATGGCATTTCGAGTGGTATTAAATTCATGAGGATTGCAACGTGTATTTATTTACTTATGAGTTAGCGAAATATAAGATGGATCTATTCTGATACATGCAACCTCATAACTAATTTATTACTTACTTTAATTGCAGATATCATGTTGTACGATGGAATGTCGAAATCACAAAGAAGCAGTAAGACACTCGAGGACCTGGCCAAGCTTAGGATATCACCCAAGATCGTACGAGTTAGTACAGCTTATCACAAAAACCGCGGGCGACACCAACCTAAGCAGACGACCTCAGCCGGAGATGAGGGGAACATCTCCGGCTCCGCTATGGCAAACATGATGGCTGCCTCGCGGGGTGAGAGCTTTAAAAACAGTGAAACAAGTAATAAGAGTGCCCTGCAATGGCTTCGAACAGCAAACACGTCGAATGGGACGACGAATCCGATATCAGGAGAAGAGGAAATGAGCGAGGAGGAGCGAAAGGCGATGATTCGAGCGCGGAAGAGGCTGCTGATGAGTTTAGACGACTACGGGTACGGGAGCGAGCAAGACACGGAGAGTCGCAACGGGGATAATGACAATAATAAAAAGGAGACCGATAATAGCGAAGTTGATAACAACGTTGGTGACAACGTAAGCAATGCGATAAAGCGCGGAGTGAATGTCGAGTCTCGGGAAGATGCGTCATCGAGCTCGAGAGAAATCGATGTACCGATCATGGTTGAGCAGACAGACGGGAGTACCCGAGTAGTAAGACGAGAGCAACCTAAACGAAACGCAACAACTAAAAGAGTTGGCGGGTTCTTCGGTTCGTCTGCAGATGAATCGGGCGGTCGTTCTGGTGGTCATAGAAACGAAGACGCTGCCGAACCTGTACTCCGTCAGAGTCGATTCGTTCCCTTCGAGATGTCCGGCTCGAATTACACCTCGGTGTCGAAAAAATGGGTGAATGGAGGCAGCGGCTCCGAGCAAAGTGCCACAACGCGTGCGGTGACGAAGAGGAAGTCGAACTTCAAGTTCTTCTCGCTTTCGAGATCGAGTAAACTGGAGGAAAAGGAAGCAGCCAAACGAATGAGCTCGGTTTCAGGTGACGTCGAGGTTGATGAGCACATTTCTTCCCTCATGAGGTTCTTAGATATACAAGGAGCTGAATCCCACCTAGACTAAACATATTTTTGTATTCAAGAAGAAGATTACTAGGAACTTGTAAATGGCATTGTGCCCCAGCTATGTGCAAAGGAAGTATCCGCGTGCCAAAATTTACCAAGAAAATGTTTGGAAAAAATTATTGCAAAATACGATGTAGATATTATTTACAATGACATGTCTACAGATAGTTTAAGAGTGATTTCAAAATGCCTCTATATCTTATCGACAACCAAATATTGCAATTTGCCATTAACCCCTTTTCGTTGTCATTGTGGGACAGTATTGTAATTGTGAATTTTATTGCTTCTGATATGACTTTTTCTGAAATAATATCTTTCCGATATAACCAAGTTGCCTCAATACTGCTCTTCCGAATAGTTAAGCATTTAGCTCGCTTATGCTTACTTGGACAAAGAAATTATGGAGATTTGTTTTTGAGAATGTGACCAATGGGACCCCCAATGTACTTTCCCTTTGATTGTGCAGAGACATTGAACTGCTGAGAGTAGCTAGCTCTCATACAACAATAAGTATGTGGTAGCTGAGTGCTTCTACACAAGAGAAGCACCACCAATACAATGGAATACAATTTCAATGGTATCATTGTGTCTGTGAGAGTGATCACACAATGCCAAATACATGTACAGTATGGTCTTAGTATATGCAAAACAGAAATGGCTGTACCTACAGTATGGCTGTACATACAGTATGGCAAACCTGAGAATAATTCTTACTCAATGATGTAAGGGGAATATGACTTCCAGACGCAGTTCTACAGAGGATGGATTTGTGAAGAGCTCAAGCCCCCCCCCCCCCCCAACGTCCCAGTCTCCCTTTTTTGTTCTTCTTCTAGAACCGCTCTTGAGCTCCTCATATACAGTAAACGCAATGCAGAATTGACGGGAATAATCCGAGTTGCCAAAGGGTCTGTGTTAAGTACATGTGTTAACCTCCAGCTCAAAACAGTTTTGTATTCACGCTTTCCGATCTGGTGTATTATTCAACGTATCGGTCTCTACTACATGACTTAGGGGAACATTATTATTTAACGCTTTTCTTATATTCCATAATGTATAGTACGTTGATTAACTGTTTAATAATTCATGTCAAATTTGTTGTTAGTGGTTTTGTTTTTATAATAAGGGAGTTTACAGATAGCACATGGTACAAATGACCCCAAATATCCACAGATCTTTTACACATGGAGTCTGGAGAAGTTCCACTTTGAGCATATTAGAATAATAACTGCCAAAGTCCTAGATGTGCTTCATGAATACCTTTTGTTTGTCCTCTTGAAAAGAATACTTCTACCTGCGTATCATAGAATGTACTGTTGGTGCATAAATAAATAATGTTACATAACTTCCATGAGCGCATATCCAGTATTCATCTCTGTGGGTTTTTACCTTTTTGGTACAAATGACCTTTATCTGCCCATGCGCAGATTGTATCTGTAAACTCCCTTAATCATTGTTTGCTTTTGTTATCACAAGCGGCTGGTCCGTTTTTATTTATTATGTTAAGTTCAAGTTATGATCGCATACTATATAAAAGCATTGTAATATCTAAGACGACTGGTTCGTCATCGGAGAATTTATTGAAATGCAAATGGAAAATAAAAAATGCTCTTTGAATAGAAATTCATGAAAATAGTCTTCGTATTTTTTGTTTATCTATTTTTCAGTGCGTAATGCTGTTCGAAATGTATTTCGAAGCTTTTCAAACAAATAATTATGAAATGAGAGAGAGAGAGAGAGAGAGAGAGAGAGAGAGAGGGAGAGACATCGAAATGGATAGAGGGGAAGAGAGCCGGGCCCGGCAGGTGTATACAGGCAAATGTATTTTTTTTAAGGAGAGGAAATTTGGGAGAGGGAGATAGAGAGAGGGGGGTTAGAGAAGACAAGGCATGAAGAAAGTTGTGATCATATACATGTAGATCGGAAGAAGATCAGAAGGAGACAGCTGATCTGATCTTTGATCTGATCTTTGATTGGGTGTACTTGAAACCAGAAAGAATTGAGGACAAAAGCTGACGTCATATTCGCTCATTGTCTCGGTTACCATGGTTCTAGACAACAGTGCCTACGCATGAGGTTCACCGCGAAATCATTCCAGCAAAGAGCTGGAGCAGGGAAAATTCATTATGTGGCGCTCGTGTGATCAACCCACCATTGTTTAGCACAAAAATGTTTGAACCAGCAACCTTGACAACTTGACCAATAATTATGACGTCACACTTCGGTACTCTATACCAGGAACCCCAAAGACGTGTAAAATGGTACTCAATTATTTTTTAGAGTTTGAATAAAAATAAAACAACGAAACTTTGTAACTGGTTCGATTAAGATACAATATTTTACTAATAAAGACAAGTCACATAGTACTGCGAATTACACTATCCATCTGTTTGCTTTTAACATTTTATAGCATACATATTTTTTTACATATAGCAAAAACATAATTCATTCTAGGAAAATAGCTAAATTCTTGCAAGCATTAAGTAGGATATATTTATCAAAAATATATTAATTCCCTTAATATGAGATAGAAATTCTATATATGTAATGACAAGAGAAATTGGTTAACAAGTGGTCTATCAAAATATAAAACATAGAAGATAGTGAAATTATACAGGATATTATTATCAAATAACAGGTTGTGACAATATCGTCACGGGACATAGTAAATCGTACCATACATGACGAAAACTTTCTGTATATCACAAAACTTACTAAACGGTTTCCGTTTCTCTGTGTAACAAAGAATATTAATAATTCATCACTAGGATGGTCTTTTTTCCGTATGATGTCCTTCCAATCAGGCGCTTACACCCCCCCCCCCCCGCCCCCGCCCATTCAGCGGCTGGCTGAGTCGTTGCGAAATTTTCGGCCCGATTTATAAATGTTAACCCCCCCCCCCCCCCCTTGAAAAAATCCTGCGTACGCGCCTGCTTCCAATTATATACGATGTGAATCTTGTTTGCCTATATTCAAGCCCATGAAAGGTGTGTATCGGTAATTAATTCAAAACGACAGTTTCGATACTGCCTATATCCATCATTTGCGATTCCTCAAAGGTTTTTGCCACCAATGTTCTGACGTGTGGGAAGAATTGATATTCCCAAATTCTACGAAATCGAATTACGTAATGAAACCTAATTGAATTTGTAATCACCGTATTAATTAAGCAAACCTCAACTCGATTCGATTCCTAAATTTTAATTTATAATCCACGATTAAAATTGTCTGAGGTATTTCTTTCACTTTGTAACTTACTGTTCTAAAGTAATTTTCCAGAAACTATTACTTCTCAGAGAATTATCAAAGGGGCTTTTGTATGTCAGTGTGTTGGAGTGTAATTGTTTATAATTTAACATTTTTCAAATTTAAACGGGTGAAAATACGCAGTAGTGAAAACTCTGCCATTTATCAATCCAGATAAAAAGTAAACGTGACATCAAAGCCACACTGCACTACTTAAGCTACTTGCTCCCTCTATATAATAAACAATGCATAATCGGTGACCATTGGTACCCCATGATCCTCTTTTTCATATGTTAATTGAGGGCTGATTTGATGAGATAACCAACTGTCCAGTGACGAGTGACCTTGCAGGTTAGTCTAATCCCTCCTGTTCACTAGTATTGATGGGCTTTAAAGGACAAAGTGAATTTATGATGTCTTACTCATTCATAGGAAAGTCTTACAGACAGAACAACTGATTCAAGCTTGACTAAACCCTTATACGTGTATAGTCAGGGTACCTTGGTTAATATGAACACGACCAGATCAAGATTAATTACACATTAATAGATATAACGACGGGTTGGAAGAATACAGCTGATCTATTTACTATGGCGGATCGGAAGTGATGGAAACACGAAATGACTGATGTGGACATTCACACAGCAAGCAAGCATGTAACCAAGCGTAGACGAACAGAGAACATCAAGCTGTGTCACCAGTTCGGTCATCAACAAAAGCAAAAACAGAGCAAATTAGAGATGATTAGTATATATATCACACATTTCAGTATTTTCTTCATCATAGGTGATCCAAAGTTCAGATCAAATATATTCATTACACTGCGAACAGTCAGCAGATCTTATTCAATAATAGTTGCATACAATGACGACGATAAGCTAGACAACTGGACGCGTACACATATTGAGTTGGGTCCCTCATTACTTTTGCATGGCATGGTTGATTAATACGCCTAGATCGTTCAATACTTGGGCCTCCATCCAGTAATAAACGATTCGACCCTTTGCGCATCCCAGTTGTTGAGTTTAAAACTGTCTACTAACGCTTCCTTGTTGAGCTGTAACATCAATTGTCCATCTACAGAATTACTCTTGAAAGCGGGACTGTATTTCTCGAGGTTCATCAGTTTTAGGCACTGGCAGACTTGCGAGACAGACAGAGAGCTCAAGTCCTTGGGCACCCCGGCCAGCGAATCAAAATTGACAACGTCAGACTTTGGAGAGTTTCGGACCCCAGGAGAGTTTCGGACCCCGCCAGACTTTGGAGCTACAGGGGGAGTGTTAGAGTTCGTCTGTCTGGGGCTTGGTTTAGCAGCAGGAGGTGGTGGCGTTTTGATGGTATTCTGATCGAAGCCAGCGCCCTCTGCCGCCGAAAAGCGTTTAGCCAGACGAGCTTGCAGTTCGTTGCTTGGCTCGTCGTTGTTGTTTACCGACCTCGGGGACGAACTGGTGGTTCTCGGGAATTTTCCGAAGGTTGATGGCTTATTGGAAGGAACGAGTCCTTCCAGCCTGGATGCACGCCTCTCTGCTTTCGCTTTAAGCTCTTGTAGCATGTCGTCTCTGCCGTTCCCTGTGTTCATCTGAGGTTTACTGGCCGCAGTTTGATTGGCCTTGATCTGAGCCACGTCCCTGTATTGAGGTGGTTGTGGTGGTGGTATGAACCCGATGGGAGGTGGAGGCGGTGCACCCGGTATCACAGGTACAGGGGGTGGAGGTGGTGCTGCTGGTGCTGGTGCTCCATTGGGGACGTTTTGTCTCGAAGGTATCGATGCTACAGGAGGTGGTGCTGGAGGATTGAAGCTTGATTTGCTTGCAGGGTAGTCAGTGTGGTCACCACCTCGCCCATTAGCCACATCATGATCAGCATCATAATCGGGATCGGGTAGTTTGCCAAGGAACTGGGTTCCACTTGCTGGTCTACTCCGGGGGTCATTACTGGAAGATGTAGAGTAACCCGAGTCAGCAAGGCTGTTCATGCTAGACCCTGAACCTCTGGGTGACGAATTTGCGTTTACCGGCCTTGGATAGTCAACCCTGACAGGGCTCTTAGCTCTTGCGTCCAGATGCCCAGGTGAGTGAGATGCACGCCTGCGTGATTGGGGAGAATGCTGCCTGTCACGCATGTATGCCATTGGGTTACGAACCGAATTGCCCGTCATCGTCTCTACAGGAGGCGGTGGAAAGCGATCACCGTCAGCTTTCTTTAAGATGGACCTTGGCAATGTGCCGTGTATCGATGTAACTTGAGCGGACAACGGTCTTCCAGGGGATTGCATCCTTGGTCTGTGAGCAATGAAAGACGAGCCACTCGGCGACTCCGACTGTACGTGACGCAGGGGTGGTCTTCCTGGCCTTTCACCAGCTTGGACTGATGCATTGTCGCGGTCCTTGTTGGCTGCTTTACCAGCCGAGGCTGCAGACAACGTCCTAGCACCGCTTGGTCCTGCTAGGACACTCCCTTGACCTTTGTTCTGTTTTAACCTTTCATTTTTGGTGGTGATGAAGAGCGTTCCCGAGGGGGTGATTTTTTCGTACTGTTCCTGCTGGTTTGCAGATTCCAGTCCTTTGTCTGTGAAGAATGTGATATCTGTAAGAAACAAGCAAAAGTTCACAATTAATTTGGTGGAAAAGGTACATGATGAAGTAATCATGACGATTTTTAACTACAACTTTTTTTTACTTCTTACGCAACATACCGCGGTATTTGTATCTGAGACAATCTAAGGTATTTTAAGTACAATATTTTTGGTATTGCTAGATAAACGTGATAAACATACATATCTAAACTTATCGCAACATGCTTATTTCTCTGATGTGTCACAGAAATATTCTCTTAAAGAACAGTTGTTTATTTTTTTATTCAAGAATGAATGAATGTTGATGTTGCTTACCAAAATGCATTTACGCTTTCTTGGCAGTCAGGTAGAATAACCCCCACCACATTTCACTATAAAAATTAAGCCACCAAGATGCAGTCTACGGATCTGTCAGGCTGAATATATTTTGAAAGAAGGCCTACCTGATACCATTTGATTTCTATTTGTTGTTTTAGAGCTACTTGTTTTAATAAATCGTTCAACGTAATTTAAGGCAACAACAAAATATTGAGCGGGTCTTACGTGGATTGCCAGGATGGAGTTCAAAGACTACGTTCTTGGAGACAATTTTATCGAGCAGGGTTTGGTAGCGTTCCCACCTCTCCCGGGAACCTACTATAAACGACTCGGCCAGGACCACCGAAACAGGCGAATGGAGAGGGATGTTAAGGATCATGGTGTCCAGATGGTCTACGAAAAGAAGAACAAATCATTACCTCGATTATTTAAAAGAGCATTTTATTTCTTGTAAAAGAACAAAGTACGTACTCGTTTTTTTGTTTACATTATACCCTTGAAAGCAACAAAATGAGTCATCATGATCGCGATATTATGCTTGATAAAAACACATCTTTTTTCAGATGCGATATGTTGGACATAATATTTTCTTTTGGAAAAGAACGGCAGAAAACCTTTATAATCGTTTTCAATATCATCGATATTCAATGTTCATTTTCTTAATCCAAAATATCATTTTTATATGCAATCACCATCATCACCACCACAAGCGTTTATGTTTGCTTCTCTTATCCTCGTTCATCTCGGTTTCTATTGCGGTGCCTTCTCAATGATATTATCCACTCATTTGCGATTTATCAATTTGTCTACTTCATATACCATATCACATCATCATCACCATCATCATCACCATCATTATTAAAATCATCATCACAATCATCATCATCATCATCATCATCATCATCACCATCATCAGCACAATCATCATCATCATCACCATCATCATCATCATCATCATCACCATCATCATCATCATCACCATCATCATCATAATCATAATCATCATCATCATCACCATCATCATCACAATCATCATCACCATCATCATCACCATCATCATCACAATCATCATCACCATCATCATCACCATCGTCATCATCACCATCATCATCATCATCATCACCATCATCATCACAATCATCATCATCATCATCATCATCACCATCATCATCACCATCACCATCATCACCATCATTTAAATGGCGTCATGCATGCGTCATCGAATTCTTACCGTTCTGGATGGCATTGCCTTGTAGATAGCCCGTCTCGTACATTTTCTGCAGGGCGAGGGCGCCAAACTTCTCCTTGGTATTCGGGACATTGCTCTTGAGCTGCAGGTGAAAGGTCAAATCGTCTCCCGTGTGGAAATTCACCTTCTGTGGCAGTAGTGATTTGTCGATTATCTCTCGCATGTACATGGGCTTCGAACCTAGGAACCAATATGCAAGAATGTAGTCATGGTTCGAAAAGGGAAAGCCATGTGATTGATTCCTACTGCTATCTTGCTCTTACAATTAATGTTCTAGCAGGTTGTGTTGGCGAATTAAAACGACAATATGTAATTCTTAAACTGTGGGGGTGGAGGGGGCTGGTGGAGGGGGCTGGTGGACGGGGCTGGTGGAGGGGGGCTGGTAGGGAGGTCTGGGCCGTTGTCTGTCATTCATGGTTAATGTCCATAATATGTTTTAATTCTAGCACACAACCTGAAAAGCGGCTGTGGAAACAATGTTTTGTTTAACACTATCATAGACCTCTACTTTAATGATTATTTTTGTGTTGGAAATATGACCACAGAGACATAAAGATAAATCAAACGACTAGATGCTATTTAAAGTTCATTAAAATGTTGTATGATCTAAGAACAATTTAATATTTTAGTTTATCTGAATGTTGCTAAGAGTGTGTTTTGATTAAGGATCTCCAAAAAAAATTATTCTAATAATAGATGATTTAAGGGCTCTTCTTCTCATATTTGGATATAAGCGACCATACACTATTGCATGAAATACTAGTAACCGATTGAAAATGAAAGTCTAAGCTCTTACGTTTTCCACCCGACACGACTTCGAACCTTGCTTCAGCATACCGTAGAGGGATACTAAGCCATCGACCCTTCTTATCTGTTGTCGCCAAGACTCTGGTCTGAGTGTGAATTTGATGTATACGAAGAATCTGAAACAAACAAACGGTAAACGATTCAAATAAAAATGAAATTCTGATGTTTCTTTCGAAACTTTCTTTCCCCTAGATATACAATGCTTGTTTCCCCTCAATATTTGCTTTATCTAAGATGTGTCTAAAGGTACAATATTGAATCCCTTAGTAAGGGTATGCTTTCATTACAGTTATTTTATTCCATAATGGTTTTTCCGGTGTAGCATAAGGTGCAAATCTCTCATATTTTGTTTTAACTTACGTATATGCCAACACATGGCACTCCCCGGTTAATGTCTTTGGTTTATTTCAGATTTCAGAATAGGGTGAAATTTATAGAAGACAATAGTGATGACAAGAATGACGAGAAAGGAAAGATCCAAAAATTGTCAAGAATATGTGCAGAATAATGAAGACATATTGGCACGAATTCACAAAGGAGGTTTGTAGACAGACCTAGGTTTATGTGCGTCATATGACGCGTTTTGACGCGTTTCAGACCTCGGTTTGTCGACAAACTTCCCTTGTGAATTCGGGCCAATATCTTCAGCAACTCACCTGTTCCCGAGCTAACGTTTCGGTCTCATCGGAGGACTCGTACCCCTCCACCACTTTCATGATCTGAGGGAAGGTACATCTCTTCAAGGCCTCTCTCAAGGTGTACTGCTGACGGGACCATTGGATGTCCTTCACGTTCGCTTTGGTTGTCATGGTAACGAGATGTGTGGAAGGAAGACTAAAGAATTATATTCTACGCCGAATCTTATGTCACTACGTTTATCGTGGTTCCTGCAGAGAAACGGAAAGTGAAATAGAAAACATATTTGGTAACAAGTTTATGAGAATTAAAGGTAATATGTCACTTATCCGGTAAGAGACAGCATTAACATACAGTGTGACAGATTGAAGAGAAGAAACACTTCCCCGATGTTGAAAATGTGAAAAAGTGTGTTCACATCATGACACACTGTGGTAACAAGCACACCGAATAGTAGATTCAGACACTTTCCCAATAGACTGTGTTCATACCAGTTTCATATTGTGTAACTATCTGGTTTCACACCAGGCTATCTCAATTGATGTATTTACTTGCTGAATGCACCAAGGCAGATTTCAATACTTTCTTAGTACGGAAATAATGAAAAAACTGTTATCTCACTACAACCCGAAAATTGAATTAATTAATTTCAACTTTATACATGAAGGTAATAACATGAAAGCATCAAACTTTTCACACCTTAAGAAAATTTGCTCATCGTCAGAAATTTGTCACGATTGATGGGACACTTAGGCAAATGTGGCAACCAAATAAAATAAATGTGAAAATGCTTAGAAAAGTAGTCATTGTAAGATGTGGAGCCGAATAATATGAAGCAAAAACATTTTTGTTTTGTTACAGTTAATGTGATTTGCCTGAAGATACAGCATGTGGGAAGGATGCCAAGTTTGATAGTTGCATTTTTTAGAATCAGAATATCAACAAATCACTTCGTTTAAAAGCATTTACATGTAACCAATAAAGCAGTGACACTAATTGTCTAGAAAGACCAGAAGCACATGTATTTGATTGTGTGGTCCATTAGTTTAAAATTGATTATTCTGTCAAACCTAAGTACCCCAATGTATGAAATGCACACATTGTCCACTTTCCCACGGCAGTGGATAGCAGGTAATTTAAGTCAAAAGTCATTTCCAAAACCGATACAATATTTGTTTGATCTCGAGATGTGTAAACTGAATTTTTGAGAGCCGTGTTGACTTTGCTCTCGCCTTCCACCAGCCGGAATTTGACCTGAAAAAGAATGGCAGATGTTACCTTGAATCGTGCTCCTAGATTTGCAACTCGATTCTACCATACATGAGTACGTGCACATCATTTCCAGTATACACCTTAGTATATACACACAGTCACATAACCCACACCCACATGGGTAGGATCACCTAACCCACAAGCAAAAGGTAATTTATAGAATGCAAAGCGTGCGAATATTAATTAACACCGAAATAAATCAATTAGACACACCTATGCCTTTGATAAGTAAGTTGTTATGAAATCAATACACAATTAATTAAATTTTAGAAGGTAGTAGACCCACCCTATATTCTGTAATACATCTCAAAACTCAAAACAACATATTAGGACACGTCATTATTTGTTTTTAGAGTGTAATAGATGTCTACAAAACAGTTCACGATCAAAGTACTTCATTTCAACCCCACCTGTATTGATTATACTTAATAACCCAACTTGAAACCGTTCTCTTGGGAAAACTTATTTTCTGTTTAAAGTTTGGTTTATTTTCAGCAATGTCTCTGCCCATCTTTAATCACTTGTTAGATAGTGCATGAACTATAATAATCGTCACTTTGTATAGTTAGCAAGCTGAAATCTAGTTGCTTGTCGAACGTTCATACACCGTGACACAGTGATTAAACGTCCAGGATAACTGTTGGGTCACGCCCCGTCACGCCCTAGTAACGTCAAGTTCCTGTGCTTTGTATGCTTTTGGGGTTTTGCTGTGGATTTTTAGGTTCGACTGTTTTCCCCCGAGTTACCTCAATATCAAATTGCCATTCAACTGATTATGACGGTTTCAATTTCACATGTAGCACTATCTGTATGCTATGAAGCTGGTCATAAAAGTCAAATGCCTAGAAATAGTGAAATAATAATGATGATTTATAGGTTTCCACATCGTTAAGTACATCAGAAAGAGTGAAGTGGTTTATTTTGAAAAGCAACTGTCAAAGAAGGGCATTATTTCATATCTGCATAAGACTGGATGTCACCGGCATAAAAAGTGAAATAAAAAATCACAAAATGTAATTTGTTTATAAAGTTTATTTTGGGTTGTTCAAGGGCTAAACGCACACAGGTATCATGCTTACAATGTTGAACAATCTGTACGTATAGACCTACATTGTAAATTGTTAGCATGGTGTTTAAAGCCAAAGCAACCACTGAGTAATAAACTTGGGTGTCTGCGTGTCCTAGAATCCAGCTTTCTTTAAACATCCGCCATATTTGAGCCGATTCGACAGTTTACTGTATAATGAGGTCGCATCACAACAGTGAAATTCTAATTTCGCCTACTCTTCTGTGGTACACGCCCGCGAGGCAAATAAACGCCATTGTAGGCTCGGAAAATTCCAGTTGATCATGTCAACATGGGGGTGAATAAAGCTCGACATTGGTGCATTCACTGCATTCATTGACCCGGCAGGCATGAAGATCAATCTTGTCAGACGAAAGTTTACACTCTGCCACGCTCTCCACCACTGCAATTCAGCACCAAAGTCCCCGCAGTCCTATATATTACATTGAGAAGTGTGCAGGCACGCAGAGGGTGTAATCCAAGCTTGATGTGAACGTTTCGTTACTGCAGGGTAAAGGAATTTGGATAAAAGGTTCCAAGGAAATCAGAGGTGTACACTTGGGGCTGGAAAGCCCAAGAAATGAAGCTCACATTTCGTCTCGCCTCTTAAAAAAGAAAGTAATCCCTTCATGAAAGGGGGCATAGAAAATAACCAGGAACATGTCGTACTTTTTGGCTTCGGGTCAGACCAGGGCTTCCCAGGCCTTCTCGAAGTCTACGTCTACATGTAGTCTGAAACGATAATTTACATGTTATGCCATATATGAGTCATAAAACTGACTGTAAAATAATGTATAGATGTATTTACCAATGCAAAATAATAATTATAATAATACTAACAATGATTTGACGACGAGAATAAACATAAACCTGTTTATACTGATGCCAAATAAGTACGACAAGATAGTTCATGTTCTTGAGAGACAAACATTGCCAAAATTGATGTACATTGTATAACAGCGACACAATCAATTTTTTTAATTCTGAACAGACTGGAAATTACTATATATTATAAAAACTAAAATATTTTTGAAAATATGAACATTTAGCACTGATTGCGGCAAGTACAAGTGAACATGTCACTCTCTTTTTAAGGAGAAACATCATTTAGGCATAATGTATTCTAAACATATCAAGAAACAGTACATATAATCTATAAAATAGTATTTGTTTCTATGAAATGATAAACGGTGTGTACGTGACAGGATTCATATTTGATCATAATACATGTACATTATATATCAAATATTATAAGGAGGTGTACTCGTAGTCAACTTCTTATTTACGGGCAAATTTCAAATAAAACCAATGTATTTGCGTAGAGTTCCGGAGCATGGGTTCATTATGACGTGTTACTTTATCATTACAAAAGAGTTTCTGAGAGATTACATGTACAAAATGTAGGCTTCAATTTGGATTAACAATACAATCCTCTATGAAACCTTTACTACCAAAGTTTTGTGTGCATGAGAAAACTCATTGAGGATCTTCCTGTATAAAAGCATGCAGTATACTCTTTATAATACCGGATATACAGTCATCTTAATGCGTGGTAAAACATAATTGTGGAATCAGATTATATTGTGTATTGATGAATTAACTCTTACTTTCTCTCTATCTTTATTTCGTTCTTTTTCAGTCCCTCTTATTCGACCCTCCTTTGTATTTATCTTGCTTTCTTTCTCCCTCCCTATCTCTCTCTCACTCTCTCTCTCTCTCTCTGTCCCTGTCTCTAAATAGTCCGTTTCCTCCTTTTAATCCCGATGTTAACTCTTTCACTGCTTCTGTCACTGTTCATCAGCCTCTCTGTCTCTGTTGCTCTCTCTCTCTCTCTCTCTCTCTCTCTCTCTCTCTCTTGCCTCTAAAATAATGATCATTTCCTCCTCTTAATCCCAATTTTGACATCTGTTTTTAACTCTTTTAATCATTCATTCTCTACCCACCCGTTCATTGCCACCTTCCTTACTGTCTCTTTGCCTTCTCCTTATTCCAACCTTTCTTTCAATTTCCTTTTTCAAGTGGAGGGGGGGGGGGCTGGGGATGGGGGGGGGGCTTATTCAACGTATTTATTTTATCTCTAAATTCATCAAACATATGATATCACATCTACATCCTTGGTTATAATCCCTCCTGAAACGGAATCATAATGGCAGCAAAAATTTGTTCTAGCTCGGAGCAGAAACGGTGTGAAAGGACACGCTCTGTAATCCTATTATATTACACCCTACAAAATCCTACGCCCCGGGTAAGGTTTAGTATATTGAAAGGTACTTTTTGTTACTCACCAATCTCTTAAAATATTAGTTTATTATATTGTGATTGGTTTACCTGTATGTTTTAGACTGACCCTGTACACCTTGAACTTTAAAAGTTTGGGATATTTCTGTTTTCATGAAATGGATTCAGAATTGGAAAGGCATGCCCTTTAAGATCTTTCTACCTACACCTGTATATAGTCATGAACAATGAAGCACTTTGACAGGAACATTTTGGATTCGTTTGTGTTTGATACTTGTTATTTTTTCTTTTAATGTATATGTTATTGTCATTGTGATTGTTCTTTTTATTCAAATGTTATAATAAAAATGAATTGAATTTGAAATAAATAAATCTGTATATGTGTCTCATGGATTCAAGTATGCGCTCCTACAAAATGAATATAATAATACGAAATAAATAATGAAAGATCTATTTACTTCATAATTATATAGCTAGATAACTCACAATTTTAGCTAGCAGGTTATAATGTATACAAAGTGGAATAGGTCTGTCAAGTGCACGTGTATAATAATTTGTGTGTCATTTCCTCAATAATATCAACTCATTCAAATCTTTTTCTTTCGATTATTACGTGGTTAGTAAATTGACAACAAAGCCTTCTTTGTATATATACCACACCTTGGAATTTACCGT